ACCTCGTGATCCGCCCACCTCGGGCTCCCAAAGTGCTGGGATTACAGGCGTGAGCCACCGCGCCCAGCCTAAAGTGTAATATCTTTTTAGAAAATGTCATTACTGGAAAAAAAAGTTAGAAACCAGAACTTCTCATACCTTATTCCTGTTATGTCTCAGTGACTAATTTTCCCTTTCCAAATGCAAAACACCTCAGAACCTTACAACAAGTCGAATGACAGTGCACTAAGGGCAGTGCTGAATAAAACCAATGTACGAGTCTGGACAACATAAGTAAGGAAAATTCATTCTCTTTCTGGAATTCGTTATTGCTACCTTATGGCTACAGTTCCCCAGTTGTTTGTCAACCTCAGATAATGTGGATGCATTAACTATCCCCCGTTAGAAAACTTAGGAATAATAAAAACATTAATTTATCCTGTTATCCTGTTAAATGACACTATACCAATTTTTTTAATTTTTTTTTTTTTTTTTTTTTGAGACGGAGTCTTGCTCTGTTCCCCAGGCTGGAGTGCAGTGGCGCAATCTCGGCTCACTGGAACCTCCACGTCCCGGGTTCAAGCAATTCTTTTTTTTTTTTTTTTTTGAGATGGAGTCTGGCTCTGTCGCCCAGGCTGGAGTACTGTGGCCGGATCTCAGCTCACTGCAAGCTCTGCCTCCCGGGTTTACGCCATTCTCCTGCCTCAGCCTCCGGAGTAGCTGCGACTACAGGCGCCCGCCACCTCGCCCGGCTAGTTTTTTGTACTTTTTAGTAGAGACGGGGTTTCACTGTGTTAGCCAGGATGGTCTCGATCTCCTGACCTCGTGATCCGCCCGTCTCGGCCTCCCAAAGTGCTGGGATTACAGGCTTGAGCCACCGTGCCCGGCGGGTTCAAGCAATTCTGTCTCAGCCTCCCAAGTCGCTGGGACCACAGGTGCACACCACCACACTTGGCTAATTTTTGGGTTTTTTAGCAGAGACAGGGTTTCACCATATTGATCAGGCTAGTCTTGAACTCCTGACCTCAGGTGATCCACCCACCTTGGCCTCCCAAAGTGCTGGGATTACAGGCGTGAGCCACTGCGCCCTGCCATGCTATACCAATTTGAGACACAAAGTGAGAGTGAATGGTCTCAGGGATGATCAAGAAAAAGCAATGCCTTTGTGAATGTCGAGGGTCCTTTGGCTAGAAGAGAGGATCAGCATGTATATTCCATATTCCATAGGATCTTCAGTCTCCTGTTTTAGAAGTGCATCAGACATAAACTGATTTGTATATTTTTAGGTGAAATTCACATTTTTAGGTGAAACAAAGTTAACCATTTTAAATTCAAGTTTGGTGGCATTTAGTCTTTACAGTGTTACCTAGTTCCAAAACGTCTTCCTCATTCTTTGTGTTTTAACCCTATCTCCCAGTGTTTAAGTGACACAGTGACAGTGAACTTCTCATCCATCAGTAGTCTTGAGCAGACAACCCTGATGAGTGAGTTCTAGGATCAAAGCTTCCCAGAGTTTGTGGTGCATTTTAATCGGGGCAAACTTGAGGAAGGCAGTGAAACTAAGTAGAGCTCTGAATAACAGCATTTCACTCAGTGCAGAGCTTCCCACACTACTCTGCCCAGTTTCTAGGTCAAAAAACATACCTTTCCAACACTTTAATATGCTAAGGTGTACCATGAATGAGAGAGGGAAGGGGGAAATGGTGATATAAGCCAAACTGAGCCCATTAAGAAGCCCTGGGCCCTGCCCCCAAGGTGGTGAGGCTCTGGGCCTCATGTTTTGAAAGATCTTTGGAGACCCTGTCTTACCTGGGCACTCTGGGCAAACAGAAACCACTCTGTCTACTGTTGGAGGATGAAGTAGACAATCTTCCTGGAAATGCTTCCCACTTAATCCCCCCCATCCCGTCCTATGGAGATGTCTATTGTTTGTAAAGAATATGCCACCCATACAACTGTATCCATGTCACCTAACCAGGAAGATACCCTAAGTAGACAGTTCTGGGGAGTAAGATAAAAACCAGCAGAAAGAGTGCTTGGCTTAGACAAGATGGAGTTTTAGATGGTGCCCAAAGAGACCTAGCAACCATCCAGCTAGAAAGGGGTCAAGACCAGGAGTGCTCTTTGTGGAGCCAGGGATCTGTCCATATGGCTTTGCAATGCCTAGTCATAAAAAACACTCACTGTACTTAAAGTAACTGACACAAGGTGGGGAGAGGCCCAGGCATGGAAGGACTTAATTTGTGCCCTATTTCTTGGAGACCTATCTTTTCTGCCTTTCTAACTTTATTTGGCTCTCTTGACAGAAGCCAAAAAGCATGGTATAGAAGTTGTGATCATAAAGCTGGGCACAGTGGCTCATACCTGTAATCCCAGCACTTTGGGAGGCTGAGGCAGGAGGCCGAGCACTTTGATCACCTGAGGTCGGAGTTCAAGACCAGCCTGGCCAACATGGTGAAACCCCGTCTCTACTACAAAAAAAAAATTAGATGTAGTCGTGGACACCTGTAATCCCAGCTACTTGGGAGGCTGAGACAGGAGAATCACTTGAACCCGGGAGGTGGAGGTTGCAGTGAGCCAAGATTGCGCCATTGCACTCCAACCTGGGCAAGAAGAGTGAAACTGTCTCAAAAAAAACAAAAAAGAAGTTGTGATCATAATTACATGACCTTCATGACAAACATACTCTACAATTAAAAACAGACACCCCGTATCACAGAAAGATCCAGACCAAGAAACCCAAATGATGAGGAAGATAAAACTAAGCCATTGGGGAATCCTGAGTTGGGGTCTGATCTTAGATAACTGGGTCAGGCTAAGGCACCTGATGACAGAAGCTGGGTGATCTCATCTCTTGTTTTGAGTTATTTAGTAATATATTCCTTTTAAAACCACTTTAGAGGTAAACTTTTTTTTTTTTTCCTGAGACAGAGTCTCACTGTTACCCAGCCTGAAGTGCAGTGGTACCATCTTGGCTCACTGCAACCTCTGCCTCTTGGGCTCAGGAGATCTTCCTGCCTCAGCCTCCTGAGTAGCTGGGACCACAGGCGTGCACCACCATGCCCAGCTAATTTTTGTATTTTTGGTGGAGTCACGGTTTTGCCATGTTGTCCAGGCTGGTCTTAAACTCCTGAGCTCAAGCGATCTGCCTGCCTCAGCCTCCAAAAGTGCTGGAATTACAGGCATGAGCCTCCACAGCCAACCTAGAGGTGAACATTTTGATACTGGTTTTGGTTTGCCCACCCCTTAAAACCTAATATGAAGCTCAGGGTTTGAACTCGGATGAGAGAATAGAGATGGGGTAGAACACGGGGTGAGGGAGCATGCACCTGCTCTGTAAATGAGAACATGTACTCAGAGCACCAGGAATACCTGTGGGACCCAGTGCCTTTTAATGGACCTGGCCATCCCACAGTACACAACCAGAAATATGAGCTTGTAACACAGTTCGGTCTCAGAATACATCTCAGTCTCCAGCCTTTGTCCAGACTTCCTCCAGTTCACTGTTCTGACCTGCTGTTCTTTCTTACCTTATCAGCCTCAGAATATATCTGCAGTCTCCAGCATTTGACCAGACTTCCTCCAGTTTACTGTTCTGACCTGCTGTTCTTTCTTACCTTATCTGGCTGTCAGATCCACTGGGACATCTAGGAAAAAATCTGCCACCCGCTTCCCCCAAAAAAAGGCCTTGCCCTCCAGCCTCCTCCCACTATGTACAGACATAGAAAGTAGGGACAAGCTGGGCATGGTGGTTTACACCTGTAATCCTACCTACTCCTACTCGGGAGGCTGAGACACAAGAATCTCTTGTGCCTGGGAGGCGGAGGTTGCAATGAGCCCAGATCACACCACTGCACTCCAGCCTGGGTGACAGAGCAAGACTCTCAAAAAAAAAGAAAGAAAGAAAAAAAAAAGGAACAGCCCCTGGTCCAAATTCCCAGATAAGGTAGATACCATTTTTTTTTGAAACACCAAGTGTGAGTCAGCCTGGGTTTACAGACCTAAATCTAAAAATGTATTGAACACCTGTATGATTTCATAAATATTGCCCTGATTGATGAGGCACCCCAAAGAAAGACAGAACTGGATTCAACATGGAAAGAAAGAATCCCAAGAAGCCAGCCATGAGAGTGACAGTCCCATCTGTGCTAGAAGAGTAAGGCCCCTGAGGGTGAGATGCAAGAGCTTTGTGCTGGGGGACCACAAGACAGAGCAGATCCAGAATCCAGGGAACTGTCACTTCCAGTCTGAAAACTTTCCTAGGAACTATGATAGCAAATGATGGAGAAGCCCTAGGGTTTGGGATCAAACAATTCTGGTTGGAGCACGCACCCCGCCTCACGATCCTTCCTTCTGCCATTTTACTTAATCTTGCTGAACCTGTTTTCCTCTACCAAAAAAAAAAAAAAAAAATACAAGCTCACCTAGTGGCTGAACTAATTATGTGAAATATGTGAAATGTGCTTTGCAGCAGGTGGCTTTTAAACTATGGACCAGAAAATACATACACTGTAAAAAAAAAAATTAAAAAAAAAAAGTTTTACATTATAAGCCAGTATACACATATAAGTATATACAATTGAAACAAGGGTGTCACAAAAACTATACTTACCTTACTACTTGGGAGTCACTTGATATATTCTATTGTATTTAATTTTTTATATGCTGATTGCAACTCACTACATTGTTTTCACTCTTAATGGGTAGCTAGCTTTTAAAAAACACTTTTCAAAACCATGCAATTACCAGTTATTACGAAGATTAGTAAGAGTCTCAGGAATGGTCTGATGGCTAGGAATTTTCATTGCCAGGGAAACAAAGGAAAAAGGTCAAGGTTACTAGGTCAAGCCCTTGAGAGCCGTGTTGCCAAGGGAACAGATCGGCCACGTCAGGGTTGGTTTACCCATGGGCTGAAGCTCTGTGGAGAAAAGGAGTGGCCCGTAGGCCTGTCACTCACATCAGAGGTGGTAAGCCCGCCTCCAAGCCCGGAAGACCCGCCTCCTCTCTGAGGTTAAAGGAGGAAGGCAGAGATTGGAGGCTCAGGCAGTGACGTAACTTGCTGCTTTAGGTGGCCTTCCGCTCTGGCGGCTGTCGCGACGGGGGTTCAGGGACCATTTATTGGGGCTCCCCGCTCCCTCTGCTCTTGGAGGTGCCATGAGATCGGTTAGCTACGTGCAGCGCGTGGCGCTGGAGTTCAGCGGGAGCCTCTTCCCGCACGCTATCTGCCTTGGAGACGTTGATAACGATACGGTAGGTGCATGCGCACTGCAAGAGACAGCCTGGATCTGTGCAGGGACGGCGCAAGGGAAGTGGGACAGGCCGCCCGAGCGTGCCACGTGAGCGTGAGCATGCGCGCTGTGGCTAGTATGGAGCGCTAAAGAGAAAAACTTTATTGATAGCTTCAGTGTTCGTGGTTGGTTTTGTTCCCTGGGAGGTTTTTTTTGTTTGTTTGTTTGTTTGTTTGTGAGACAGAGTCTCCCTCTGTCACCCAGGCTGGTGTGCAGTGGCGCGATCTCGGGTCACTCCAAACTCCACCTCCCGGGTTCAAGCGATTCTCCTGCCTTAGCCTCTTGAATAGCTGGGATTACAGGAGCCCGCCACCACGCCCAGCTAATTTTTGTATTTTTAGTAGAAACGGGGTTTCACCATGTTGGCCAGGCTGGTCGCGAACTCCTGACCTCAGGTGATCCCTCCTCGGCCTCCCAAAGTGCTGGGATTAGAGGGATGAGCCACCGCGCCCGGCCCCTGGGAATATTTTTTAAGTGGGATAGATAGTTGATCCCTCGGCCTGATTGCGTCAAGTGTTCACTGGAGGAGCCTGGTAAACTCTGGTGGCCAAGTTTTCTGGATCACTGTTTCTGAGTTAAGCCTCCTGCAGTGGCGTCACCTCTCAAATCACTTACCTTGGCTGGACGCAGTGGCTCACGCCTGTAATCCCATCACTTTGGGAGGCCGAGGCGGGCGGATCACGTGAGGTCAGGAGTTCGAGACCAGCTTGGCCAACGTGGTGAAACCCCGTCTCTACTAAAAATACAGAAATTAGCCGAGTGTGGTCGTGCGCGCCTCAGATCCCAGCTACTTGGGAGGGTGAGGCACGAGAATCGCTTACACCCGGGAGGCGGAGTTTGCGGTGAGCCAAGATCGCGCCCACCGCACTCCAGCCTGGGCCACGGTGGAAGACTTCGTCTGGAAAAAAAAAAAAAAATCACTTTTCAAAGCCGTGAAGTGGAAATAACAATGCCGCTCTCCCTGTGGCTCCGCCCCTTCGAAGACTTCTCTGAACCTCCTCCTACCCTCACAGAATTAAGCACACCGTCCGTGCTTAATATAGGCATTAAACTCAAAGTCTGCTGCTGTTAGACTTGGCCCGTTCGGCTGGAATAGATTGGGGTATTTCCCTGCCTCGCTCTCCCGCCAGGGCAACAATCACCCCCACAATCCAGTGTTAATAACGTCCGGTTTCTTCAGTGCCTGCTTCATGGTAGATGCGGGTGCCTGGCAACTTGTGCTACACCTTGGTTGAATTACAGAAACAATCTCCACCTACCTTTTCTCTGCTCAGCAGTCGTTCCTCTTTATTTTTTATTTATTTATTTATTTTTGAGACGGAGTCTCACCCTGTCCCCCAGGCTAGAGTGCACTGGAGTGCAGTGGCTTGATCTCGGCTCACTGCAACCTCTGCCTCCCGGGTTCAAGCGATTCTCCTGCCTCAGCCTCCCAAGTAGCTGGAATTACAGGCGCCCGCCACCACGCCCAACTACTTTTTGTGTTTTTGGTAGAGATGGGGTTTCACCATGTTGGCCAGACTGGTCTTGAACTCCTGACCTCGTGGTCAGCCCACCTCCGCCTCCCAAAGTGCTGGGGCTACAGGCCTGAGCCACCATGCCCAGCCCTTCTTCTCGTTTTTTAAATAAATTACCACAGGTCAAGCAGGTAAAACAATGCCTGGCACACAGTTTAGTGTTCTCTTAAGTGTTCGTGTTGTTGTGAGCATTTTATTCTGTTTTTCTGCAAATCTTTATTGAGCTGCTCATTATGCACCAAGGACTCTGCTACATTCTGGGAATTCAAAAATGAACGACAGAATTCCAGTCCTCAGATCGCTCATCATCAAGTTGTGTAATAGTCACCGGATAATAAAATGTAATGAGATGCATTGACTGAAATATGTAGAGGATTCTCCGGTGGAGCATTAAAGGGAATAGTGTCTGATGCCCTTTTCTTTTCTTTTCTTTTCTTTTTTTTTCTTTTTTGGCAGATTTTATCTTTTCTTTTATTATGTATTTCATATTTCTAATGCAAAGCACTGGATTGCCCCTTTCTACCCTCTGCCCTGTCTTCCTGCTGGGCCTCCCTGCTTCACGCTTCCTTCACTGTCCTGTGCACCGCCCCCTAGTGCTGTGATGGAGAAGGTATTTTATGAGGCCTCTTTTGACTCTACCCGCTCTGGGGAGGAAAGAGTTATTTTCATAAATTCGTATTGTGTTTTCTGGGCTTTCATGTTTCTTCATGAACTGCCAAGCCGTCCAATTTTATGAGAAAATCGGAGGAGGAATTTTTAAATTTTTTTTTTTTTTTTTTTTTTTTTTGTTGTTGAGACGGAGTCTCACTCTGTCACCCAGGCTGGAGTGCTGTGGCTGGATTTCAGCTCACTGCAAGCTCCGCCTCCCGGGTTTACGCCATTCTCCTGCCTCAGCCTCCCAAGTAGCTGGGACTACAGGAGCCCGCCACCTCGCCCGGCTAGTTTTTTGTATTTTTTTAGTAGAGACGGGGTTTCACTGTGTTCGCCAGGATGGTCTTGATCTCCTGACCTCGTGATCCGCCCGTCTCGGCCTCCCAAAGTGCTGGGATTACAGGCTTGAGCCACCGTGCCCGGCAATTTTTTTTTTTTTTTTTATAGAGACAGGGTCTCACTCTGTTGTCCAGGCTGGAGTGCAGTGATGCAATCATAGCTCATTGCAGCCTTGAACTCCTGGGCTCAAATGATCCTACTGCCCCAACCTCCTGCGTAGCTGGGACTACAGGTGCCTGCCACCATGTCTGGCTGATTTTTTTAATGTGTTGTAGAGATGAGGTCTCACTGTGTTAACCAGGCTGGTCTCAAACCTCTGGCTTCAAGCAGTACACTGGCCTCGGTGTCCCAAAGTGCTAGAATTATAGGTGTAAGCAACCTCACCAGGCCACATTTTTAAACAGTAAATTATCAAAGCACCTTCAGATATACATTATTTTCCATTTTATCTGATTGCCTTCTTTGTTTAAAAGCATTCCTTTTTTTTTCATAGCTTTATAGCACCACCTTTTTTGAAATTGTATTTATGTAAATGAATTACACTATTATTCACTTCTACAATATTAGATATACTATCATTTTTTTCACCTGAGTTGTAAGCTCCATTACTGTAAGCTCCGTAAGGATAGGAGTGTTTTAATCTGTTTTTTCCACTGCTATATTCTCAACCCTTAGGTCAGTGTAGGCACTGGCCGAGAGTGATGGCTGACACCTGTAATCCCAACACTTTGGGAGGCTAAGATGGAAGGATCATCTGAGTCTAGGTGTTTGAGACCAGCCTGAGCAACACAATGAGACCCCGTCTTTACAAAAAAATGTAGCCAGGTGTGGTGGTGCGTGCCTGTCCGGAGGCTGAGGTGGGAGGATTACTTGAGCCTAGGAAGCTGAGGCTGCAGTGTGATGCAGTGAGCCATGATCACACTACTGTACTCCAGCTTGGGCAACAGTAAGACTGTCTCAAACAAACAACAAAAAAAAACAAAGAAAAGAAATAAGAAACATCAAGTAATAGAAGGTTTGATTTTTAAAAAACTAGTTTTATGCTTCTGTGATCTGATATTCTTACCAGAAACTCCCATAACAGTTATAACAATTAAAAAAGAAATCAAAGATTTTTTTTTTTTGAGACGGAGTTTCGCTCTTATCCCAGGCTGGAGTGCAGTGGAGTGCAGAGGTTCACTGCAACCTCTGCCTCCCAGGTTCAAGCGATTCTCCTGCCGTGGCCTCCCAAAGTAGCCGGGATTACAGGCATGAGCTACCACGCCCAGCCGGAAATCAAAGAGTCAAATAAATTCCAATTTGTTTCTAACTTTTCCTTACTGTTCACCTGTTATCTCTGTTGCCTTTAGAACTACATTTCTTGAGAGTATAGTATTAGTTCAGTGTATTCTGGGGACAGGAAGGGGATGTTGGCTGTATACCTAAGAGGAGATCATAAAGCAATTTGCAGAAGTGGAGTTTGAAGCCACTTGGTTAACATCTTGAGCCCCTGTAAAGGGCAGCTACCCAGATACAAATGGTGGAGAGGCTCCATGCAGGGATCTCCCTTCCCTAGAGCTTAGCCATCACTTGAGGGCACTGGAGGCCCAGAGTGTGGAGCAGCCCCTTCAGGCTCTACCCCCTCAGGCCCCACCGTCCTGTGTGGTTCCCACATACACTTCAAGATCAAAAGGCCTTGCTAGAGGAGGGAGGGCCCCAAGAGTTCACATTGTCTTTTTATTTGGCCCTTGATTAAATGTGAGGTCCGAAGTTAGATTCTGCAAAACTCCACCATCTTGGGCTGTTTTCAAAACATGTCCCATTTGTAATGGGCAAATGCAAAGAGCCGAAGTCAGGCATGTGTAGCCTAGAGCTATTCAGGTGGCATACTTTTCTGGGGTGAGCCATAAATTGTGTGTAGCCTCAATTTCTGTAAGCTCTCCTACCCCCTAACACACACACCCCTAAATGGAAATAAAGAACTGGGAAACTATGGCTGTGTTGGCCCTAAAAGATTGTTCTGTTATGTTTTTTGAGACAAGGTCTTGTTCTGTCACCCAGGCTGGAGTACAATGGCACGATCATGGCTCACTGCAGCTTCAGCCTCCTGAGCTCAAGTGATCCTCCTTCCTCAGCCTCCTGAGTAGCCGGAACTACAGGTGTGCACCACCACACCTGGCTAATTTTTTTTTTTTTTTTGAGAGACAGGGTCTCACTCTGTCACCTAGACTAGAGTGCAGTGGTACAATCTTGGCTCAATCACTGCAACCTCTACCTCCTAGGCTCAAGCAATTCTCCTGCCTCGGCCTCCCAAGTAGTTGGGACCACAGGCATGCGCCACCATGCTTGAGTAATTTTTATATTTTTTGTAGAAACAAGGTTTCACCATGTTGGCCAGGCTGGTCTCGAATTCCTGAGCTCAACCAATCCACCTGCCTCCGCCTCCCAAAGTGCTGGGATTACAGGCGTGAGCCACCGCACCTGGCCTCACCTGGCAGATTTTTAAATTTTTTGTAGAAATGGGATCTTGCCATGTTGCCCAGGCTGGTCTCTAACTCTTGGCCTGAAGTGATCCACCCACCTCCACCGCCCAAAGCAGTGGGATTACAAGTGGGAGTTGTTGCACCTGGCCAGACTTTTAATAAAGTTGAGGAAGAGGCAAGTTGAGGTCTTGTGATTTCCCTTGGTTAGGCTAAGTAGAGAAGAGCTTGAAGTGGTTCAGCAGAGTCCCATCCTAACGCTTTCTTCTCTCTCCATTTGAAGTTAAATGAACTGGTGGTGGGAGACACCAGCGGGAAGGTGTCTGTGTATAAAAATGATGACAGTCGGCCATGGCTCACCTGTTCCTGCCAGGGAATGGTCAGTATTCACTTCCCTGGGCCTGGAGGCGGGAAGGGATCCCTTCTGTCCAGGGACAGCCTAGGATGATTCCCACACAGGTGCTCACCCATGTGTCCTGACTCCCCAGCTACTGGGCCCAGCCACTGACTTGCAGCCAATTTGATTCAGGGAGGGACGCCCCCAGCCAGCGCTCGCACCTGTCCTCACACACGCATACATGGGCTGGGGTGTTTTTGTGTAACGGAATACTCCTTGACACTTTGTGGAAGTTGCCTAAGGTGGTCTAATCTTAAAGTATAGTCAAAAATGGGGGCAATAATTTGAATAAGTCTAGAAATATGATCGCCTAGCTCGATTAAATATAGGGTTCCTATTTTATTTTAAGTTCAGATTGTCTTAACCACCTCAGGTCTTCATGTTGCTGTCTGGGTAAACCAAACCTATAGCACAGTAACTCAGTTAATAAAGCTTATCACCATAGTTCATATGGCACAAGTTTTCAGTGAATGATGGTGATTAGAAAACCTGCCCACTCCTTGCTTCACAGAGGTCGGGGGTACTGGTCTCCTTGGCGTCTCCCTGAGCCTCCCTTTCTCTCTTACAGCTGACTTGCGTTGGGGTTGGAGATGTATGTAATAAAGGAAAGGTAAGAACTAGAGGGGACCTTTCTTGATTCCTAGCTCACAGCGGAAATCAGTTGAAGGTTGAAGGCTTCAGCTCTGACCTCTGTGATCTGATTATCGGGCTTGTTTCCAAAACTCCCTCCCCAGTCCGCCTCTCCTGTGCCTCTGTTTGTCCTAGAACCTGTTGGTGGCCGTGAGTGCTGAAGGCTGGTTTCATTTGTTTGACCTGACACCTGCCAAGGTGTTGGATGCTTCTGGGCACCACGAGACACTAATGGGAGAGGAGCAGCGTCCAGTCTTCAAGCAGCACATCCCCGCCAACACCAAGGTCATGCTGATCAGTGACATCGGTGGGCATGCCGACCTTTCAGGCAGCCAGGAGAGTAGGAGTCAGTGGGTGCTAGAGCAGACCCCAAGGGATTGGGGTGAGAGGGAGAATCCGTATTCATGTATGCATTGGTTATGTACTGAGCTCCTGTGATGAGTCAGGCATCGCTCAAGGCACTGGAATAGCCGTAGTGAATAAATAGACCAAAATTGCTGCCCTCCTGGGCCTTACTATGAAGAGACAGAAAAGAAACAATATAGGCCAAGTGTGCTGGCTCTCGCCTGTGATACCAACGCTTTGGGAGGCTGAGGTCCGAGGATCACTTGAGGACAGGAGTTCCAGGCTGTAGTGAGCTGTGATCTTACCACTGCACTCTAGCGTGGGACCCTGTCTCTCTTTAAAAAAGAAAGGAAAAGAAAAGAAACACTATACATTTTGTGAGATAACTAAGTGGTATATTAGAAGGTAGTAAGTGCATGGCTGGATGCGATGGTTCATCCCTATAATCCCAGCACTTTGGGAGGCCGCGGCGGGTGGATCACTTGAGTTCAGGAGTTTGAGACCAGCCTGGCCAACACGGTGAAACTCTGTCTCTACTAAAAATGCAAAAACTAGCCAGGCCTGGTGGCAGGCACCTGTTATCCCAGCTACTCAGCAGGCCGAAGCAGGAGAATCACTTGAATCTGGGAGGTGGAGGTGGCAGTGACCCAGGATCATGCCACTGCACTCTAGCCTGGGCGACAGACTCCCATCTCCAAAAAAAAAGAAGATAGTAAGTGCAGCCGACCATGTGGCTCACGCCTGGAATCCCAGCACTCTGAGAGGCTGAGGCAGGTGGGTCCCTTAAGCTCAGGTGTTCGAGACCAGCCTGGCAAACATGGTGAAACCCCGTCTCCAGTAAAAATACAAAAATTAGGCTGGGTGCGGAGGCTCACGCCTGTAATCCCAGCACTTTGGGAGGCCGAGGTAGCCGGATCACGAGGTCAGGAGACCGAGACCATCCTGGCTAACACAGTGAAACCCCATCTCTACTAAAAATACAAAAAAAAAAAAAAAAAATTAGCCTGGTGTGGTGGCGGGCACCTGTAGTCCCAGCTACTCAGGAGGCTGAGGCAGGAGAATGGTATGAACCCAGGAGGCGGAGCTTGCAGTGAACCAAGATCACGCCACTGCACTCCAGCCTAGGTGACAGAGTGAGACTCTGTCTAAAAAAAAAAAAAAAAATAGCTGAGCGTGGTGGCATATGCCTGTAATCCCAGCTACTCTAGAGGCCGAGGCAGGAGAATTGCTTGAACCCAGGAGGTGGAGGTTGCAGTGAGCCGAGATTGTGCCACTGCACTCCAGCCTGGGTGACAGAGACTCTGTCTCAAAAAAAAAAAATAGTAAGTGCAGTGGAGAAAATAATTCTCAGAAAGGGCTAGAGTGTCGAGGTAGAGGCAGCAATTTTAAATGGAGTTGTTAGGGCTAAGTCCTCACTGAGAAGGTAACATTTGGTTAAAAAAAAAAGTGGCAAGCAAGGGAGCCATACAGATAGGCAGCTTGTAGGTGGTGGGAGGTACATGGGATGAACTGGGACGCTTGAGTTGCATGTTTGAGTAGTATGAAGGCAGAGAGCGGATAGGAGCTGCGGAACAAATGGACGGGCAAGATGCCGCAAACGCAGACGGGGCGGGGGCCAACTGAGTGTGAAGTGAGCAGCACTGCAGATCAGGCATGAAGCCACACTGGCTAGAAGGTGCTGCTGTTAGCAGAGGAGCCGGGGCTGCTCGTGGGACTCCAAAACCCATCTTGTCTTCCATGCCTACAGATGGAGATGGGTGTTGTGAGCTGGTGGTGGGTTACACAGACCGTGTGGTGCGAGCTTTCCGCTGGGAGGAGCTAGGTGAGGGTCCCGAACATCTGACAGGGCAGCTGGTGTCCCTCAAGAAATGGATGCTGGAGGGCCAGGTAAGCTGCTGACTGTGGTGAGCAAGGCCCCAGGGAGCTGGGAAGAAGGACTCCTGGAGGAGGCAGGGGGAGAGCAGTCATGGGACAGGGCCAGGGTGGGGAGAAGTGAAGTCACCTTGTCAAGAGAGACCCAAAGACCATTTCGAATCAGGGGCTTAGGGGAAATTGCTAGTAACAGGCGAAGAGAAAGGCATGTTGGGCTAAGAATGAGGACTGTGAAGGTAGGTGTGGAGTGGGCCGCATCAGGACCTAGACCCCAGCTGGGTCACGCACAGGGGAAAGCATGTGGTCTGTGTGGAGAGGAGGGTGCCAGGCAGGAGCCCTGGAGACTCAAAATCCTTCCTCCTGCTGCTACCCTTGAAGCCCAGAGGGCTGTTCCCAGGACCCCGCCCCGACCCCCTGCCATTCTCTGCAGGGTCCCACTTCCTTCTGTCTCCATCTCCCTTTAATCCCATTCCCTGGTGCAGGTGGACAGCCTCTCAGTGACTCTGGGACCACTGGGTGTTCCTGAACTCATGGTGTCTCAGCCAGGCTGTGCTTATGCAATTCTACTGTGTACCTGGAAAAAGGACACTGGGTCCCCTCCTGCCTCCGAAGGGCCCACGGATGGCAGTAGGTAAGGGGGTACAGGCCTATGGATGGTGTGGGGGTGCATGGAAGCAGGATGGGCTCCCAGATGGCACGTGGTAGTCAAATGGGTCTGCAGTTGGCAGAGCTGCCTCATCTAGGTCCCAGCCCGAGCACCTTTGCCCCACTGGGGAAGATTACGTTAGGACCAAGGGAATCCTGGGCTCTAACGTTGTAGCACCTGAAAGAGGTCCTGAGATTCCAACCTGGCAGCGCCATCCCTGTCTCTTCTCTTTGCCACATGGACCAGATAGGGTCAGTGGCAGGTTTCTAAGCTGATTCAAATCCCAGAAGCTCTTGCAGGGATATGGGTTCCAAAGGGCTGGAGAACTCAGCTCACTTGGTCTCTCGCTTGATCCTTCCACCCTCCCGTGTACAGGGAGACCCCAGCTGCCCGAGATGTGGTGCTGCACCAGACGTCTGGCCGTATCCACAACAAGAACGTCTCCACTCACCTAATTGGCAACATCAAACAAGGTGAAAGTGCGGTGGGGGTGAGGGAGGGAGACGAGGGGCAGCCGTCAGTTCTGGGAGAGTGGAGAGCCGTAGCTTGCCCCTCATTTCGAGCCCTGTCCTTTCCCTGCTGCTGCAGAATACCCCTCTCCCGTAGGCTCTGACCTTGCCCTGCCCTTGACGTTTTCTTCCTCTGGTCCTCCTGTCCTACCCACAGGCCACGGCACTGAGAGTAGTGGCTCTGGCCTCTTTGCCCTGTGCACCCTGGATGGTGAGCAATGCTGGGATGGGGCATGGGGGCTGTATGCCTGTAGGGTCTGCTCGGGGCCTATCCCACCCGCGCTCAGCCTGCCTCTTCCCCGGCAGGGACACTGAAGCTCATGGAAGAAATGGAAGAAGCAGACAAGCTGCTGTGGTCAGTGCAGGTGGATCACCAGCTCTTTGCCCTGGAGAAACTGGATGTCACCGTGAGTGGAAAACCTGGCAGAGCAGAACATTCTTGCGTTTTCCACATGGAGAGATGGGATTTGGAATAATCAGGCTATTCTCACATCCCAGGGAACTCCCAACCTTTATCTTTAGTCTCTGTGTCTTTTTTTTTTTTTTTTTTTTTTTTGAGACAGGGTCTCCCTCTGTCACCTAGGCTGGAGTGCAGTGGCATGATCTTGTTCACTGCAACCTTTGTCTGAAGCCATCCTGTCGCCTCAGCCTCCTGAGAAGCTGGGACTACAGGCATGTGCCCCCACACTTGGCTAATTTTCCTAAACTTTTTGTAAAGATGAGATCTCACCATATATGGTTTCAAACTCCTGGGCTCAAGCAATCCTCTCGTCTTGACCTCCCAAAGTGTTGGACTCACAGGCGTAAGCCACTAAGTCTCTTTAGATAGGTCTAAATCCATCCGAAGCGAGTTTGTTTCCTCTTACTCTACCGTATTTAACGCTATACCGTGCTGTTAGAAGTCTGTCATTTCCATAACTTCAGCAGAAGTAGTAGCCCTAAAGAAAAGTTACTGTAAGAGCCTGGAAGTATGTTATTCGTCCCAACTCCAGAGGCATATTTTGTAGGTTTTTCCTTTTTTTTTTTTTTTCTTTTTTTTTGAGACGGAGTCTCGCTCTGTAGCCCAGGCTGGAGTGCAGTGGCCGGATATCAGCTCACTGCAAGCTCCGCCTCCCGGGCTTACGCCATTCTCCTGCCTCAGCCTCCCAAGTAGCTGGGACTACAGGTGCCCGCCACCTCACCTGGCTAGGTTTTTTTGGGGTTTTTTTTGTATTTTTAGTAGAGACAGGGTTTCACTGTGTTAGCCAGGATGGTCTCGATCTCCTGACCTCGTGATCCACCCATCTTGGCCTCCCAAAGTTCTGGGATTACAGGCTTGAGCCACCGCGCCTGGCCAAGTTTTTCTTGTCCATATATAAATCTCTATTTAATGTCACTGTGGCCCCTGAATCAGCAGGCAGGGGCTACACTTTATATTGCCATCAGGCATGCTTGTTGGTTTAGGAGAAGAGGCAGACCTGGGTTTGAGTCCTGATTCTGCTACCTCCTAGCTGAGTGGCCTTGGGTGAGTGACTCTATTTCTATCAGCTGAGGTTTCCTCAGTATACTACTTCCTACGGTGGCCATGAGCATTATGTGACAGCTCATTTGACAGTCCTGTTTACTGCCCAGCCCGTGGGTGACATTCCTCCCCAGCTGGCTGTTTGTCATCCAGAGTCCAGTCCACAGCTCCTCTATGTTCCTTGTCTCTGGCCTTTTTCAGGGCAATGGGCATGAGGAGGTAGTTGCATGCGCCTGGGATGGACAGACATACATCATTGACCACAACCGCACCGTTGTCCGCTTCCAAGTGGATGAAAACATCCGTGCCTTCTGTGCAGGTGACCCCTGCCCCCATGGCCCCTTTCTGACCACACGTAAGTTAGACAGGCGTGTTAGATATGCCAGGGAGGTGTTTGCCCCTCACTTCCCTTTCTGCCGTATCCCCTGATGGAAGTCTTCATTCACCAACGAGTTCTTCAGCTCTTTTGTTTGGGGGTGAGGGGTGGTCACTACATTGCCATCTTGACAATCTTAAATAAGAAATAAAAGACAGCAGCATCTCCACCCCGGAATATTTTAAAGAGTGGCATGAGTTTCTGTCTTCGGTCTGGGATGTGTGAAGACATCAGGAAGTTCTTTTCCACCTGAGCATGCCAGGTCTCTGTGGAGAAAGGTCTCCTAGAACATTTTCATTAGTTCCAAGTCAGGGGCCTTGGGAGGCAGCACTCACTCTCTGGGTGACTGGGGGATGCCTTTGGAAGGAGGCATTGGCACCTAAGAGAAGCCTTACTTTCTGATCGTGTTCTGCTAGTCTCGCCCTTGGGCGAGCAAGGCCGTCCCTCATCACTCCAGGGATATCACTAAGATGGGAAAATCAACAAATAGCACCTTTTTGGATTCTGTTCTGCCTGAGTTTTGTTGCTATGGTTTTTCTACATCTCAAGTGAGCCAGGTCTTTTCCCATCTTATCTGTTTTACTGAGTTCCTAACAGAAAACAAATAGAGAACCTTTCATTTTTTTCCGGACATCAGTGGGAGGATAGGAAGTGCTGACTCGAAGGTGTGTGTCTTGCTGTGTGCCCCCCACCACCAGCACTGAAACTTCCTGACCTTTGTCTCCCTGCCCACATCTTCCAGGCCTGTATGCCTGCAAAGAGGGCCGTAACAGCCCCTGCCTCGTATATGTCACTTTCAACCAGAAGATCTATGTGTACTGGGAGGTGCAGCTGGAGCGGATGGAGTCTACCAATCTGCTGAAACTGCTGGAAACCAAGCCTGAGTACCACAGCCTGCTGCAGGAGCTGGGTGTGGGTGAGTCCCAGAAAAGCCAGTGGCCCGGGTGCCCGGGAGACCCACAGCCTCTTACCCACCCCTTCTTGGCTCTCAGATCCTGACGACCTCCCTGTGACTCGTGCCCTGCTTCACCAAACACTCTACCATCCAGACCAGCCACCACACTGTGCTCCCTCAAGCCTCCAGGATCCCACCTAGCCGTTCTTGCCTCAGAGCTGGTGAAGGATTCTTCCGAACCCCCACCCTACCCCCTAAAGGTATCTGTGATATTGGCAGGATAGGGAATATGCATTACAGAAATGCAGGATTTGACTCTGGACATGAAAGATGGCAGCAGCGCTAGGGTGACCATGAACTATAGACCTCGCAGTCTTTTTGGTGAAAGAAGAGACAAGTTGACCCTCTGCCCATTTCCTTATGGACCTCACCCATCACGCCAGCAGGGTCATAGGACCCTGGCCTTGTTCCAGATCATCTGGGACATGTCCCACTTCCCACTTTGACTGTTGAAAACAGAGACTTGTTTGCATGGCCCCAACACTCATAAGGAAACCAGGCTTTAGGCCCAGGGGAGCAATGGAGGTAAGGGCTCCACCCCATCTTAAGCTCTGTCTTCCATGGCACAATTCCAAGTTCTTGACATTAGTAATTGTTAAAGGAATGGCAAACTGTTTTGTTTTGAGGGATCTTTCTACAGTCTGGTCTCACCCTTGTTCCTAGCAACCCTGAGATGAATTTCCTCCATTTACCAAAGCAGCTGGGTCAGTGCTTTCTCATGTTGCCATATTCTTCAGGTATTAGTGAGCTTCAGAAGCCCTGCTCCCATTTTTCCACCCACTCATTCCCCCGTAAAAGAGCTTATCGTCTCTAAGACAATAGACATTTAAAATGTGATGCAGGTTTATGATCCAGACCACAATCAGAATTATATCTCGGGTCATTTATGTGCTGTCTGTTCTTGATTCTCTGTGCTCTAAGTCGGTGTTTTTCAAACTGTGGTTGCAGTCCTTTGGTGGATTATGGCCAGCATTTTTAGAATAGGTAGAATAGAATAAAGTAAAATAGGAAACAGCAGAGTACATTGCTCACAGTGTGGGTAAGTATTATTTTGTTACAGTCATATGTGCGTGTGTGTACTGAGTGCCATGTGAAATGTATTCCTGCTGTGGTCAGAGGAGTTGGAAAGCCATTGCTTCCAGATTGCTCTCAATTATACTGACCCTAGTCAGGTGGGTCAGCCTGGGCGAGGGCCCACATTTCCATTTCCTTTCTGTAAGGGACAGCGGGCAGAGTTATCATTCAGCTCTTGACAGGCAGGGAGGAAGACCAGAGAAGAACATTGACATAGAGAAACAAGAGTTTATTCCAATGGAGAAGCAGCTGAACCGAGGGCTTGTCACTGGGCCTGGGGTCTGCAGTTACAGAAGCAGCAGGAGGCAGACAAGGAAAGGCACAGCACAGGACCCAGGAAAGCGGACCTTGTGGAGCAAGGCAGTGAGGGAGAGGAAAGCTTTTAGGATTTTGAGACCAGGTACTATGGCACTCGTGATAAGTGAACCCCTCTCCTTTCCTTCTGAGGGCAGGGGAGGCAGCTGGGAAAGGTCAGGCCAGGTGTCACAGGCAGCTCCTCGCATCCCGGTTCTTCTCTTTTTTTTTTTTTTTTTTTTTTTTTTGAGACGGAGTCTCTTGCTGTCGCCCAGGCTGGACTGCAGTGGCGCGATCTCTGCTCACTGCAAGCTCCGCCTCCCAGGTTCACGCCATTCTCCTGCCTCAGCCTCCTGAGTAGCTGGGACTACAGGCGCCCGCCACCACGCCCGGCTAGTTTTTTGTATTTTTAGTAGAGACGGGGTTTCACCGTGGTCTCAATCTCCTGACCTTGTGATCCGCCCGCCTCGGCCTCCCAAAGTGCTGGGATTACAGGCGTGAGCCACCGCGCCCAGCCCCGGTTCTTCTCTAACCCAGTCTACCCCAGGCTCAGGACTCTGTCTCAGCCCAAGGGTCCCACCCAGTTCAGGTTAGCTCTGCCACTGTCTTTATCTCCCCGTTTGTTTGTTTGTTTTTGGAGACAGGGTCTCACTCCTTCGCCCAAGTTGGAGTCCAATGGCACGAACTTGGCTCACAACAGCCTTATGCCTCAGCCTTCCAAGTAGCTGGGATGATAGGTGAGCACCACCATACCTGGCTAATTTTTGTATTTTTTAGTAGAGATGGGGTTCTGCCATATTACCCAGGCTGGTCTCAAACTCCTGACATTAAGTCATCTGCCCGCCTCAGCCTCCCAAAGCGCTGGGATTACAGGCATGAGTCATGGCGCCCGGCCTCTTTCTTTACTCCTAATCCATGATTTGAGAGACTCAAACCAGCCAGAAAGACCCTCAGGGGTCTGGCGTCTTAAGCTTCAGGTTCTTCTCTTCACAGTGAATTCAGAAAAGCCTCTCTCTCCTGACAGACCCCAAACTTTAAAAAAAAAAAAAAAAAGCCTCTGTCTTTTTGCTTTGGCAAAGCCTGGCAGGGGGTTAGAAAGCCACTGATTCCAGGACAAGGCGAGCTTAAGCTCAAGAGACCAGAGATGGGGATGGGAAGAAGGCCTAACGAGGTGGGTAGTTCTAGAAATCAGAAAGAATACTAAATAGGTTCAGTCTCAGTGGTGACAGCCTCACTGTCCTGTCTGCCTTGTAGGAGCAGTTCTCTACAAGGCTCTGCCACACACACACCCAAAGTTCAGGGGCTCGGTGGGTCCAAAAAGCAAGTGGAGAAGGATAAATCCCTAGCGTTAATAGCAGAAGTATGTCCAAGGTTTTGCACAGGGTAATCAAACAATAACTGGCTTCAGACATTTGCAGCCCCAGAAAAATAACTAATGAAAGCTCTCAGCCTTATGAGATGGACGTTCCTATACTAATTCCATCTCTTTGTTGTATTGAATTCTGTCTCATGTTTCTTCCCCCACATCTGTGCAGATGTGCACAGAATCCAAGAGGCAGACACCAGGAGGTCCAGGGACCCAGGCTGGTGAGGCGTGGCAGTCTAGTGTGGGAGATACTGAGCCCCAGAAGGTGTGGTGAGACACATGGTGGTGTGGGAAGTTGAGTTGCGTTTGGGGTGGAATTGGGTGCTGGGCAAGGACAGCAGTCAGCAGAGCCTTCGACCCAGCCCAGGCAGGCGCCCCGTTTTGCTTAGCCTCCCATCTGTGGTCCTGGTTTGGCTTTGCTCTTCTTGGAGGGAAATGAATGAGAAACCTGGCGTCGTGGGTGCTCTAGTGAAAACTCCCCCTGGGGAGTAGGACAGCTGCTGAGAAGCAGAGAGGAATGTGGCCGGCTGGGGGAAATGGGACAGCAGGCCTCAGGGTGGTGATTGAAAGGGCAGACACCGGAGTCCCCAGCTACCTGGCTTCAAGAGCACCCGTTCCCCACACGCCTCTTCTGCTAAGGCAAGGTCTTTCCCTCTGGGGACTGACTGAGAGCAGTCACTGGCCAGGTTCTTGGTACAGAGGCAGGAAGGGTAGCTCTGAGAACGGGGCTTTCAGCCGCAGCACTCCGCGCTCCAGGTCAATGCAGCACTGTGGGGTGTAGAGCGGTCATGCCAGGTCACCTCAGCCTGTCACCTGCCTCCCACTTCCCACAGCTTCCACCTGCCTTTTGCTCTCCCCCTTATCCCCATTTCCCTTGACTCCTGTTGGAGGGGGTGACCGAGTTCTCTTGACTTTTCACTGGGTGGTAAGTAAGGAACCTCTAAGGAAGCAAAGGGACAATTGCCAATCTCTAAGTCACTCTCATCAGAACCTGGTCCAAGCTTCCACACCTGTGCCTTCTACTTTTTCCCAGTGCTTTGGATCAGGCCCTGAGTGTGGGTGCCTTACCTTGAGAGAAAGCAGAGTCTGCAGGCCCAGGCAGAATTCAGGACTCTCAACATCTGCAGGAACCATTTGAAAACAGAAGAGGCTGAGGGTTCCCAGTGGTCACTGCTGCCCTCCTCTCAGCCCTTGCTCCTTCTCTGCCCACCCCATCCCCAGATCCAAGGGCACTGGCCCGGAGATGAGGGATGGTCAGAACATCTCTGGGGACTCCTTGTGCTGCAGGGACTGAAAGTCTCTGCCTTTGCCCCACCCTGAAGAGAAAGGTGAGAGGCGAGCACCAGGGCTGTTGCAGAAGGGGGGACTTACCCACCACCTGTGCCGAGCACACCACGGTCTCCTGCCCCAGCTGTAGCTCCAACTGCTCCACCTGGTTTGGGGGCCCAGGGGCCAGGTCCCCAGCTGAGGCTTTTAGGACCTTCTTCTCTAACCTGTGGTTGGGAAGCAAAGGTTATGGCTACCACAGCCCCCAGTGGGCTTCACCCCATTAATCAGCAGACGTCCCACTCTACTATGGGTTCACCTCCAACCCCTGACCTCACGTGGGGTCTAAATCCTTGCCTTCTCTGCCAGAGTCTTCTAGCCACTCTTTTGTTAAATAACAGCTTTATTGAGATAAAATATGCAACTGTCGTCACTATCTAATCTGAGAATATTTTCATCAGCCCAAAAAGAAACCCTGTCCCCCATTTGCTTTTTTGGGCCACTCTTACCCCAGGCGGCTGAGACATCCAGCAGAGATCCGATTGTACTGGGTGCCTGTGTCCACGGCCACTCTAAGCAGCAGGTCCTGGCACTGAGAAAGAGGGATTGTGCCGAATCAGTGAGTCCCTAGGAGAATGGGTTGGGATTGGGTCCTTCAGTTTCCCAGCCCATTGATGACTCCCTTTTAGAAATGAGTGGAGAAAACGAACTGTCTTTAAAACAGGCTTTTATCGGAGCCAGGCGCAGTGGCTCATGCCTGTAATGCCAGCACTTTGGAAGGCTGAGGCGGGTGGATCACCTGAGGTTGGGAGTTCAAGACCAGCCTGACCAACATGGTGAAACCCTATCTCTACTAAAAATACAAAATTAGCTGGGCATGGTAGCGTATGCCTGTAATCCCAGCTACTTGGGAGGCTGAGGCAGGAGAATCGCTTGAACCCGGGAGCCAGAGGTTGTGGTGAGTCAAGATCGCACCATTACACGCCAGCCTAGGCAACAAGAGCAAAACTCCATCTCAAAACAAACCCAAAAAAACAAAAACTGGTTTTTATGAGACTCACACAATAGGGGCAGAACTCCTGGATAAATCAAAAAAGGAAGTGGGCTATGTGAGGTGGCTCATGCCTGTAGTTCTAGCACATTGGAGGCAAGAGGATCACTTGAAGCCAGGAGTCCAAGACCAGCCTGGGCAACACAGCAAGACCCTGTCTCTACAAAAAATAAAACAGAAAAAAAAAAAAGTGGTTATATGTGATGAGTTCATAAGTTTGGGGAAGACCTGCCAGAAATGGAGAAATGGTGATCTATTTAGAGGAATCCTTGGGAGTTTGATGGCCTCCTGGTTCGAAAACTCCAGGTTAGGAATAGAGGAAGGATGAGAAGACTGGAATCCCCCGTTAGGAAACTCAGCTGTGGGTAACCAAGAAGTTTGCCATCGGAAACAAAGGAGGACAAGTTCACCTACTTTGGGACATAGACAGACATTTTGATATACACTTGGATATACACACAGGTCATTTTCTCATTCCAAACATTCGTTGAGTATCTGCTATAAGATATGTTACTGGAAGGTACATCAGTGAGTGCTATTCTTTAGGAGTCTAAAGGAAGTAAAATCTAACTCTACTATATGGCAGAAAGTTTTGTTTTGTTTTGTTTTGTTTGAGACGGAGTCTCGCTGTGTCGCCCAGGCTGGAGTGCAGTGGCGTGATCTCGGCTCACTGCAAGCTCCGCCTCCCGGGTTCATGCCATTCTCCTGCCTCAGCCTCCCGAGCTGGGACTACAGGCGCCCACCACCACGCCCAGCTAATTTTTTTTTTTTTTTTTTTTTTTGAGACGGAGTCTTTGCTCTGTCGCCCAGGCTGGAGTGCAGTGGCATGAACTCGGCTCACTACAAGCTCCGCCTCCCGGGTTTACGCCATTCTCCTGCCTCAGCCTCCCAGTAGCTGGGACTACAGGCGCCCGCCACCTCGCCCGGCTAGTTTTTGTATTTTTAGTAGAGACGGGGGTTTCACCGTGTTAGCCAGGATGGTCTCGATCTCACCCGGCCTGTTACGTCCGCCGTCTCGGCCTCCCAAAGTGCTGGGATTACAGGCGTGAGCCACCGCGCCCGGCTAATTTTTTGTATTTTTAGTAGAGACGGGGTTTCACTGGGTTAGCCAGGATGGTCTCGATCTCCTGACCTCGTGATCCGCCCACCTCGGCCTCCACAGTGCCGGGATGACAGGCCCACGTCAGCCACCGCGCCAGCGGCAGAAGCTTTAAGGACTATAAAAGGATGTGAATGCCCGGCCCATAGCGCACACCTATATGTATAATCCAAGTACTTTGGGAGGCCAGGGTGGAAGGATCGCTTGAGGCCAGAGGTTCAAGACCAGCCTGACCAATGTGGTGGAAACCCCATCTCTACTAGAAAACACATACACAAAAAAAAATGGCGGGTGTGGTGGCGCACGCCCTGTGATTTCAGCTACTCGAAGACTGAGGTGGGAGGATCGCAGTCAGGAGATTGAGGCTGCAGTGAGCTCTGATCATGCCACTGCACTCCGGCCTGGGTGACAGAGTAAGACCCTGTATCTAAAAAAAATAAATAAAAGGACTGGAAAAGTCAGGGAGCGCAGTGGCTCACACCTGTAATTCCAGCACTTTGGGAGGCCAAGGTGGATGGATCTCCTGAGGTCAGGAGTTCGAGACCGGCCTGACCAACCTGGAGAAACCCTGTCTCTACTAAAAATGCAAAACTAGCCAGGCATGCTGGCATTTGCCTGTAATCCCAGCTACTGAGGAGGCTGAGGCAGAAGAATTGCTTGAACCGGGGGAGGCGGAGGTTGTGGTGAGCCGAGATCACACTATTGCAGTCAGCCTGGGCAACAAGAGTGAAACTCTATCTCAAAAAAAAAAAAAAAAAAAAAAAAAAAAAAAAAGGGCCAGGCACAGTGGCTCACACCTGTAATCTCAGCACCAGGAATTTGAGACCAGCCTGACCAACATGGTGAAACCCCATCTCTACTAAAAATACAAAAATTAGCCGAGCATGGCAGTGCGGGCCTATAATCCCAGCTACTTGGGAGGCTGGGGCAGGGGAATCGCTTGAACCCAGGAGGCAGAGGCTGCAGTGACCCGAGATCGCGCCACTGGACTCCAGCCTGGGTGACAGAGCGAGACTCCGTCTCAAAAAAAAATTTTTTTTTTAAAAGGATGTAACATGCCTTAGAGGTTGGGAGGCAGGAAAGGCTGTTTCCTACTGGGAAAATCAGAAAAGGTTTCAAGGAGGAGGTAACACCTGATCTGGGCTTTAAAAGCTTGCAGAATGCGGACCCAGAATTATTGGAGAGCAAGAAGAGAGCAATCCAGGTAGAAGCAGCACAGAGCAAAGACGGTGTCCCAGGACCACTGGGCATTTATTGGGAATGTGCCGTAGTGACTGAGTGGTTAAATTGTTCCAGAGATTACAGGGCCAATGCCTTGGAACACATGAGTTTTTTCCAGAATTACGTTATCCATGCACGCACACCATTCGTCTGCGTAGAGCACACTGAGGAGTACTTACTTAATTTAAGTACTGTATTTTGACCAAGGAAAGGGGGCCGAGTAATGGTGGTGACAGATGGAGCTGCACCGAGGAAAGATGGGTTGGGGCAGGGAGGAAGGAGGTAGAGGATCGTGGTTAGGTCCAAGCTAGGGAGAGACGTGTCCTTTCTCGCTCCTTCCCGCTGCCATCAGGGCAGAAAGGAGAGCAGGTGAAGTGAGACAGGTAGGGTTGTTAATGAAAGTGTGTCCCTGGGAGGCCTCTCACCTTGCAGTTGACCAGAAGAGCTGGAATCTCTGTCCTGCTGGTCTTCCTCCTGCTCTCCTGGCCATGAATCAGGGCCTGCACCCGGGGAGACTCCCTCTGAAGCCAATTCGGGTTTCCCTCTACCAGGCGTCTTTGGATCACACTGTGCGGCTGCTGGCTCCATCACGAAACAATGAAGGTAGGCAGTTCTAAACCCAGGTATCCAGGCTGCTCAGTTACCCCACTTAGATATCCCAGGATGCTCCCCCAAACCCCCCGCCCCAGACCTGAGCCTTATCCTAGGAGCTGACCCTGGGGTCCCAGCAGTCAGGTAATGAGAGCAGAGTAAGCCCCAGTATCAAATCATGCCATTTTCCTTGGACACCCGTAGATTGCTCAGCAGTGAAGAAATGGGAAGAGGAGAATGGTCCGTTCTTGGTTAAACTGACTTAGTAGCTAAAGGGACATTTCAGGAATTAGTATGCTTGGGGGAAATTTTGTCTCAAACTTATATATTTTTTTTAACTAGGAAGTTTGTTTTTTTTCTTCCCCTCTGACCTCATCCTTCAATGGGCTTCAAATCCCAGGGTTGGTGGTGTGATGAAAAACAGTAAGAAGCTCTTAAGAACTAGGCCAGGCATGGTGGCTTACACCTGTAATCCCAGCACTTTGGGAGGCCAAGGTGGGTGGATCACTTGACGTCAGGAGTTCGAGACCAGCCTGGCCAACATGGTGAAACCCTATTTCTACTAAAAATACAGCCGGGCACGGTGGCTCACGCCTGTAATCCTAGCACTTTGGGAGGCCTAGACGGGTGGATCACAAGGTCAGTAGCTCGAGACCATCCTGGCTAACACAGTGAAACCTCGTCTCTACTAAAAATACAAAAAACTAGCCGGGCGTAGTGGCGGGCCCCTGTAGTCCTAGCTACTTGGGAGGCTGAGGCAGGAGAATGGCGGGAACCCGGGGGGGGCGGAGCTTGCAGTGAGCCGAGATTGCGCCACCACGCTCCAGCCTGGGCAACTGAGCAAGACTCCATCTCAAAAAAAAAAAAAAAAGTACAAAAATACAAAAATTAGCAGGGTGTGGTGGCGCGTGCCTATAGTCCCAGCTACTTGGGAGGCTGAAGTGTGATGATCACTTGAACCCGGAAGGCAGAGGTTGCAGTGAGCCAAGATCACACCACTGCACTCCTGTCTGGTTGACAGAGCAAGACTCTATCTCAAAAAAACAAAACAAAACAAACAAACAGAAAACTCTTAAGAACTAGGATGCTGGGAATCATCTTTGACCTGTCCCTCATCTACAACCACTCCCATTCCATCCAGTCACTTCCCAGATTCTGCAGGTTTTGCCTCCGGTGTAGAATCAATCTGTCCCTCCTTTCCTTCTCTCTCTTCTTTCCTTCTTTTTCTTTTCTTTTTCCTTCTGCTCTTTCAAGACGGGATCTTGCTAAGCTGCCCAGACTGGACTCTAATTCCTTGGCTCAAGGCATTCTCCAGCCTCAGACTCCCAAGCAGCCGGGACCAGAAGCGTACACCACAGCACCTGGCCTCCATCCTTCCTTTCTGTTACCGCGTGTGTTCCACACTCCCCGCAGCTCTCTTGGATCCCTCAAACACCTTCTTAAGTTCATAACCTGTCTCCAGACCTGTTACCTTTCTTTTTTTTTTTTTTTTTTTTTTTTTTTTTTTTTTTTTTTTTTTGAGACGGAGTCTCACTCTGTCGCCCAGGTAGGAGTGCAGTGGCGCGATCTCAGCTCACTGCAAGCTCCTCCTCCCAGGTTCACTCCATTCTCCTGCCTCAGCCTCCCGAGTAGCTGGGACTACAGGCGCCGCCACCTCGCCCGGCTAGTTTTTTGTATTTTTTAGTAGAGACGGGGTTTCACAGTGTTAGCCAGGATGGTCTCGATCTCCTGACCTTGTGATCCGCCCGTCTCGGCCTCCCAAAGTGCTGGGATTACAGGCTTGAGCCACCGCGCCCGGCCCAGACCTGTTACCTTTCAAATACGTCTGCTTGGAGCTTCAGACTGGAAGCTAAAAACCTTGCTACTCCAAAATGTGGTCAGCAACGTTAACATCATTTCGAAGCCTCTTAAAAATGCAGACTCTCATACCTACTGAATCAGATGTTCCATTGTGACAAGATCCCCAGGTGATTCGTGTGCAGGTTAAAGTTTGAGAAGCACCAAAGTAAAACATGAAACTAACCATGTACTCTCTTATTTAAAATGCATCAAAGACCCCCTACCCCACATTGCGTGCCAGAGCTCAAGCTTTTGAAGGTGATCCACAGCCCAGATGACGGGGCCGTGCCTCCTTCCCTGCCACTCTGTTTGTGAGCCCCAGAAGCACCACTCATACCAGGCTGCTTTTTGCCTCCGTGCCTTCACTCCTCTCCTCTCTCCTCTCTTCCTGAAACTCCTCTTCCCCACTCTTCTCGAGGCTAGACTGAAGAACTGACTTAACACACTTTATTTGAGAGAGAAGTTGCATCTTAAGTTTGGGATTCTGTGTACATCTTATAATGCAGGATGTACCTTCTCCAGGATACCCTCTCTGAACTCTTCATGCTTCTCTCTCCATACACCCCAAGCTGGGGTCCCTTGTCTTAGCTCCCTTTGCCATGCTTCTCACAAATGTTATTTGTGCATTTTACTCTCCCATTAGCCTGGAAAGCCCCTGAGTCTACCTCACTCATCTTTATATCCCGATAGGGCATGGCTCAGCATCTAGTAGGCACTCAATAAATGCTTGCTGCAGACTGACTCTCTCCCAGGCTCTACGCACCTCTCCACCTGCCCTCTCTCCTTGGGAGCCTGGGATTGTTTTTCTGCCCTTAGATTAATGAGGCCCTTGGGGTTGCTCCTGGCAGCAAAACTGCCAGCAGGAGACCCAGTGCTGGGAAAAGTTCAGCGAGCTCTGGGACTGGCTGGAGAGACTGGCTCTGCACTTCCCACGATGGACACAGGCTTCAGGCCCCTCCCACTGTTGTGCAGTTTGCTCCACAGCCATCCCAGGGAGGGAGACAATGGGGTCTCCCCTACCTGTCGTGCCTTTGTTCCCAAAGCCACAGGAGGTAACTGCTAGAGATCAACTGGGGACATCCTAGGCAGAGGGGAGAGGTGAAAAGCTCAGGACTTTCTCGTCAGAAGGCGGGACCTGCCACTCTGGGATGGCAATGTCAGTAGAGCACCTTCTCCTGGGGCCACACAGATGTAGGATGGTCCCCAGTAGGTTCTAGCCATTGAGAACCAGAGAACCCACTTCCCTGCTCCATTCCTGTTTTTCAGCTATGCTTGCTGCCACTGCAAGGAGGAATACGCCCCTGGCAGTTCCTTGAATTGAAGGCTCAGTGCAATCCCTTTTCCTTGTTGGGAGCTAGGGAATTGCCAGGCCTCTGGGCTGTGGTCCTGGTGTGGGCACCCAGGCTGAGAGGAGTCTGGAAAGGTAGAGCTAAGTAGAGAAAGGTAACAAGGCGCTGCACCGGCCTTCAGCTTTCCTGGGAGAAGCAGTTGCTGGAGCGCAGGCCGGCAGATACGCTTCCAACCTCTCAGACAGGCCTGGTTGAGTACCTGTTCTCAGACTAGGAGAGGGGCTGGGAACGGAGTGCTCCCAAGCCTTTCCACAAAGGATTTCCTCTCTCCCATGGGTCAGAGGCCAGGAATATTTCTCAGACTAAATGGAATAGTAGCTGGGGGAATAATCATGGCATTTAGATAGCGCCTGCTATTACGCACTGTTCTAAGTGCTTTAAATATATCAGCTCTAACAACTCTCCCAACAAACCTATGATTGCTTTTATTCTCATTTAACAGATGAAGAAACTGAGGCACAGAGACGTAAAGTCAATTGCCCAAGTTAGTAAGTGGCAGAGCCAGGATCTGTTCCCAAGCAAAGTGGCTCCATGGCCCCGCTTGTCAGCACTGCCTCAGAGAGGAATGCCTGAATCTGCAATTGTCCCCCGCCCACTCACATCCTTACTGTTACTCCCCTGCCCCGTTCCTCTGAGGCCAAGGCTGCTGCAGACGGATGGGAGGAAAGGAGCCTGGAAGGTCTATTCCACTTAGGAGTGGGGGGAGCAGCATTCAAGGCAGCCAGGGGCCCCCTGGCAAGAGCCACACAAAACCCTGATGCCCTGGGAAGGATGGAGACCCCCCGATGCTTTGATTCTGAGGAGAAAGGACAAATGGATAGGCAGACCTGGTGGAGGGAACCTGTGGTTCAGGGGGAGCAGGAAGTCACAACCCTAAACTGGCCAGTCCTCCAGGCCCTCCCAGTTTTAAGTGACCACTCTAGAAGGTTCCTGTGTTCCTGTAAGCCCCCACTCCTAAACAGCCTAGCTCCTCACCACCCTCAAGTTTTGGGCCATTAGAGGGAAAAGGCAGGGAAGCTAAGCAGTGAGAATAGGACCCCTCAGAGCCACCAAACCATGGTAACATCCCCAGTGAAAAGCCTCAAGTTGACAGGATGACCTCTCCCCATCTCAGCAAGGGAGCGGGACCTGCAAGCTGAGGGTCTGTACTTTCTGGTCCTGCCTCGCCTGCTCAGGATCCGAGAAGTGGAAGGAAAGGGCCAGGGGACGCGGACAGGGGAGGGGGATGCCTCACCAAATCCTTGGAGGTGCCGAGCCTCTTGAGGCTGTCCAGCGGGAGCAGGTCGGCCGAGTCCTTGTGCAGGAACTGGGTGGCCTGTTTGAGCCGGCGCTGCTGGCTCAGGTGGGCTCGGTCTCGAAGCTGTGCCTCCTGCCCCCTCGTCCTGGCTTCTCCCTCATCCCTCCTGGCTTCCTGCTTGGTGCTCATGGCCCCTGCTGGAGGAGTGGGCCGGGGGCTGCTCAGGGGGGCGTCACCGAGTCCTCTCTGCTTCTTCCTGCCTGTCTCCGTCCTGCGCTGCAGCTCTCCTTCCAACAGGAGGGTCCCCGCGGGAGGGAAAGAGGAAAGAAATAATGTTCAGGAGCAGCCGCGTTGTCTCCTATTTCCGGAGATTGCTGTAGAGGGAGTGAGACTCCGGCTGGGAAAACCCAGTCCTAGGAGAGAGGGAGGGTTGGCAGGGCCCACAGCTGGCTGACTTGGCCGCGTCCCCAACCCCCAACGCTGGGGTCCTGTTCAGAGCGGGCGGTGGATGGGGCGTGTGTGTGTGTGTGTGTGTGTGTGTGTGTGTGTGTGTGTGAGAGAGAGAGAGAGAGAGAAGGAGAGAGAAGGAGAGACAGACAGTACGGTAAACTGTCAGGGTGCCTGTGCCAGGTGGTTTGCAAGGAAGCGTCTGTCACTGTGTGGGGGCGGCAGCCCTAGTGCCCCTCCCAGCGTGTGTGGCCCCCGCCCTCCTCTGCATGCCTCCCAGGCTTCCCAGGGCCGCCCGGCTGTTTCCTCCGCCTGGCGTTGGCGTTCTCCGCAGCCCAGGGCTGGCGTGCAGGCCAATAACTGGATTCAGATCAGACAGGGGCAGCACGAGAGTGTCCTTCCCTCCTCCCATCCCCCTAGCTTTACCTCCTTAGGTCTCTTCCCTCGCGCCTAGCAGATGTCAGAGTCTTTAACTAATTTACTCTGGATTCTGGGTTCCAGGGAATGGCAGGAACACCTCTGAATCTTCCCACGAGTAGAAATGGTCCCTGGCATCTCAGTCTCCTTTATATGACTCTCCTCAAGTCCTGGCTCTTTAAAAAATGTTACATTTCAAATATACAGAAGTTATAACGAATAAGATAACCAGTACTCTTTACTGATCACCAGTTTAAAAAATAAGCTGTTGAAGCTCCTCGTGCACTTCCACTTCCGCCTGCTGAAATCGGTGTTTATCAGGCCCATACTTCTTTATATTATTTATGCAAATACTTCCATATGCATTCTAAGCAATATATCGTTGGTTTTGGCCTACTCACTGTATTTATTCTTCTGCAGTCTGCTCTTTTTTGCTCGATATTCGTTAGTGAGATTCATCCATACGATATGCCTAGCTCTAGTTAAGTGACTTCACCTGCTGTGTAACGTAGTATTGCACTAGATGCATGCTTGACATTGAGGAAATGGAGGTTATTTTTCGTTTTTAGGTCTAACAAACAATGCTGCTATGAATGTTTTTGCACACAACTCCTGGGGCACCTGTGTCGGCATTTCTCTAAAGTATACACCTAACCTAGGAGTGGAATTGCTGGGACATCCCATATACAGCTTTGCCTTTTTGGCATATTGCCAGAGTGTTTTTACCAGTGCACACTCAGACAGCTGCACACGGGGGCTCCTGAGGTTCCCCATCCTCTCCAGCACTTTTTTTCTTTTCTTTTTTTTTTTTTTTTTGAGACGGAGTCTCGCTCTGTCGCCCAGGTTGGAGTGCAGTGGCGCAATCTCGGCTCACTGCAAGCTCCGCCTCCCGGGTTCACGCCATTCTCCTGCCTCAGCCTCCCGAGGAGCTGGGACTACAGGCGTCCGCCACTGCGCCCGGCTAATTTTTTCTATTTTTAGTAGAGACGGGGTTTCACCATGGTCTCGATCTCCTAACCTTGTGATCCGCCCGCCTCGGCCTCCCAAAGTGCTGGGATTACAGGCGTGAGCCACCGCGCCCGGCCTCCAGCACTTTTTTTCTAGCCCTGGCGTATCAGTAGATTTTTCTCTCCAGCCTTTCCTCTTCACCATCAGAGAAATGCATTGGCCAAGCACCTGTTTACCTGTGTTGGACTCTCACAAGATGATTACCCCACCTGAGCCCTGCTCCCTAAGGGTGCAGTCCGACCCAGACAGCTCCAAGGCCTGTGCACATTCAGGCAGACCAGATGTCTACTGAGCTTCTAGGAACCAAGCCTCTTCGAGACACTTTCACAACCACTGCAATTATATGAAGAAAGATTGTATTCTAATCCCCATTTAGAGGGAAAGAAAGTGGTATGGTTGAATTGTTTCCTTCACCCCCAAATGTACCCCTCACCCCTAGTACATCAGAATGTGACCTCATTTGGAGATGGGGCCTTTACAGACATGGTGAAGTTAAGATGAGGTCATTAGGATGAGCCTGCTCCCATATGACTGCGCTCTTACTAGAAGGAGGAAATTGGACACAGAGAAATGCACACGGGGAGAACGCCATGTGAAGGCTGAGACCGGGATGATGTGTCTGCAATTCAGGGAGCACCTGAGATGATCAGCAAACCCCCAGAAGCCAGGGGAGCGGCGTGGAGCGGACCCTACCTTACAGCTGTCAGAAGGAACCCACCCTGCAGCACCTTCCTGTGGGTTGTCGGGCCTTGCCCATGACACCTCAGTTTCCTCCCCTCATCATGTTTTTGACCTAACAGTTAGAGAATTAAAAAAAAAAAAATTTAGCCAGGCACAGTGGCTCACGCCTGTAATCCCAGCACTTTGGGAGGCCAAGGCAGGTGGATCACTTGAGGTCAGGAGTTCGAGACTAGCCTGGCCAATGTAGTGAAACCCTTTCTCTACTAAAAATACAAAAATTAGCCAGGCATAGTGTCGCATGCCTGTAATCCCAGCTACTCAGGAGGCTGAAGTGGGGGAATCGCTTGAACCTGAAAGGCGGAGGTTACAGTGAGCCAAGATCACGCCACTGCACTCCAGCCTGAGTGACAGGGTGAAATTCCGGCTCAAAAGAAAAAATTAATTAATCAACAAGGAATAACTCCATTGGTCTCTAATAATGAGACAGAGGGGGAAGAAACTTCATCCAACTATTCAGGAAGATTAAGCCGCTCTGAACTGTTAGGAGTAGAAGTGAGTGTGTTCTCGTCCAAGACATTTGGAAAATGTCTGTTATTCTCTGAAGTGAATGGATCTGAATTCAGAAATTCTGAGAGAAAAAATGAAAGTGTGAAATATGGCTCCTTCACTGCATTGGTTCTTCTCTGAATGAAGTTTCTTTCCATTCAGAAAAAAAGTATTTATTGAGCACCTACTACATACTGGACACTGAGCTAGGCCCTGGGTGTACAGTGGAGAGCGAGATGAGGGCCCTGCCCTCATGGAGTTCACATTCTAATGGAGAAGGTAGATAATGAACGACTACATTTATAACCTCAGGTGGTAGTAAGTGCTGAAGAAAATACACCATGAAATAGTATGGAACCATAAAAAATAACAAAATCACGTCCTCTGCAGCAACACGGAGGCAGCTGGAGGACATTATCCTAAGTAAATCATTCTCAATTCTATCAGAACGTTCTTTTTTAAATCTAAGTCCTGGTGGCTGTATTCAAAGTTCATCCTCTCTTCTCCAAGCCTAGCAGAGATGGAGATGAACTGTATCCCACCTTCCTTGTCACAGCCGTTCGTGCCTTCAAAGATCTTTCCATCTTTTCCACATTCTTTCCTCAAGGTTGAATAGTGTCAATTCTCGTCTCTGCTGGTAGGGATGGAGAGGAGAGCTCCTCCGGCCCAGTGAAATCACCCAGTGCAGTGCCCTGCCACATAAGGAAATTCTCGGAATATTCTTTATAGAATGGGTTATTCAGAGCTAGACAAACAGCTCTCTTGAACCCGTGGAGGGTGAAGGGCAGCCAGTTCTATTTCAGGCTTTCTCCTCTGGGCCTGTCAGATGTGCTGAAGACAGGAATGAGGCTGTTTTCCAGAGCTCTCCTGTCCAGCAAAGGCCCCGGCACCCCTTGCTACCAGGAGAGCACACCTCCCTACTGCCATCCCAAAGAGGTGGATCTTCCAAAGGCTACCAGACAAGGACAGTTTATATTTCTGACACTAGGATGATTTTCCTATTTCATGGATGGCAAAACGAAGGCACGAAGGGGTCAAGTGCTTTGGCTCTGTTGATGAAAGCAGCCTGAGCATGGCATGGTGAACTCAGAGGAGCCTGGTCAAGAGTTCCAACTCATGGCTGAGCACAATGGCTCATGCCTGTAATCTCAGCACTTTGGGAGGCCGAGGTGGGTGGCTCACCTGAGGTCAGGAGTTCGAGATCAACCTGGCCAACATGGCAAAACCCCGTCTCTACTAAAAATACAAAAATTAGGTGGGCATGGTGGTGTGTGCCTATAGTCCCAGCTACTCAGGAAGCTGAGGCAGAAGAATTGCTTGAACCTGGGAGGTAGAGGTTGCAGTGAGCTGAGATCGTGCCACTGCACTCCAACCTGGGTGACAGAGCGAGACTCCACCTCAAAAAAAAAAAAAAAAAAAAAAAGAGTTCCAACTCTGTCCTTGTACTAGCCAGGTGACCTTGGGTGAAGTGCTTAATCTTCTGGCATTTGCTTCTTCATCTGTAAAAATGAAATAACACATAATCTATAAAGTTGGTGTGAAGTTTAAATGAGGCAGAATAGCAAAAAGTAGTAAACTAGGCTGGGCACAGTGGCTCACACCTGTAATCCCAGGACTTTGAGAGGCTAAAGAGGGAGGACCTCTTTAGCCCAGGAGTTCAGCCTGGGTAACATGGCAAAACCTCGTCTCTACTAAAAATACAAAAAAATAGCTAGGCGTGGTGGCACACATCCGTGGTCCCAGCTACTTGGGGGGCTGAAGTGGGAGGACTGCTTAAGCCTGGGAGGTAGTGGTTGCAATGAGCCAAGATCACACAACTACACTCCAGCCTGGGTGACAGAGTGAGACCCTGTCTCAAAAAAAATAAAATAAGGCCAGGCCTGGTAGCTGATGCCTGTAATCGCAGCACTTTGGGAGGCTATGGTGGGTGGATCACATGAGGTCAGGAGTTCGATACCAGCCTGCCCAATGTGACGAAACCCCGTCTCTACTAAAAATACAAAAATTAGCTGGACATGGTGTTGTGCACTTGTAATCCAAGCTACTTGGGAAGCTGAGGCAGGAGAATCACCTGAACCAAGGAGGCAGAGGTTGCAGTGAGCCAATATCATACCAGCCTGGACAGCAGAGCAAGATCCTGTCTCAAAAAATTAATAATAAATAATAGTAAGTTATATGCCTCAGTTTACTATCTCCAAGATGGAAATCATACAGGACCTACCTTCAGCACTCCTGTACCTCCCTCTTTGTTTATCTTTTTTTATTTCCTGTTCCATTCTTCTTGCCTAAGCTGTGGGCCTGAACTTGGCACCGTTGGACACAACCTCCCCTTTCTAGTGATACTCAGACTAAAGAAGTCACTGACTATTGTTTGGGAACCATGTCATGATACCTAGTGTCAGTGTTCAGTAAACACCCAGTAAACCTAAGAGTAGTCTAAGGGAAACCACACATCGAAATTCCTACCTTGGAATTTGGACAATGGCAAGATGCAGCAACATTCTTTACAAGCATGGAGGCATTCATGAGGCTCTGCCCTGGGACTGACAGAGAATGAATTGGCTTGGGACTAACATAAGTGGAGCAACCATGTGAATAGCCACAGGAACCGCTAACTGCAATGGCAAGTAGGCAGCAGCCGCTATTTACACTGTGTAATGAAAAAAGCAAATGTGTGCGGCTCGGTGGCACCACAGCTAAGGACAGGGCTCAGTGCTGGAAAAGAGGCATGAAGACAAGGGGCTCCTAGCAAGTGAGGCAGCGATGAGTAGAATTGAAGGCTGGAGGGTCCTAGGGAAGGTGGAAGGTAAGTTGGGAGCTGTCTGCAGAGGGGATCTTGGCTCAGATTTGTCATCTCAAGGAGCAGCTATGGGGCTTTTTGAGGCATGGTAATTAGATGAGACAATCCTGGCAGAGCATGACTGGCAATGTGGGTGGCCCTGTATGATCCCCCAGGGGTTCCCAGTCCCCACAGCTTCCAGACTCCCTGGCCCCAGCCATTCCTCAAGCTCCCAGCAGCTCAGGAACTTGCGTCAGCAACTTAGGTCATGACACCAAGATCAGGCTTGGAAAGGGGGAGGTGGAGGGAGGGGAGTTGTTGGCCCAGAAATGGCTGGGAAGACTTCCTTTGCTGGGATTAACTATTGTCCATGAAGCTGATGGCATTCGGCAGGGCACAGGGTGTCCTGGGGAGTGAAGGATGTAGGGGAAAGGGGTGTCCATGCCTTCACCCCTGCCTCTCTCTCAGAGCTGCACTCCAGCTGTGGTGAAAGAGTGGATCTTCAGGCAGATCCAGATCCAGAGATCCCCCCACCCCACCCCACCAAAGGCTTTCAGGACCTCTAGGTTCATTCATTCGTGGGAATGGAGTAAGGAGGTTGTTCTTGGTTGCCAGCCAAGTGTATGTAGGCTGAGCTGGGCTTCCTTCCTTCCTTCCTTCCTTCCTTCCTTCCTTCCTTCCTTCCCTCCTTCCTTCCCTCCCTCCCTCCCTCCCTCCCTTCCTTCCTTTGCTTTCTTTCCTTCCTTTCCTTCCTTCCTTCCTTCCTTTCCTTCCTTCCTTCCTTCCTTTCCTTCCTTTCCTTCCTTCCTTCCTTCCTTCCTTCCTTCCTTCCTTCCTTCCTTCCTTCCCTCCCTCCCTTCTTCCCTTCCTTTGCTTTCTTTCCTTCCTTCCCTTCCTTCCTTCCTTCCTTCCTTCCTTCCTTCCTTCCTTCCTTCCTTCCTTCCTTTCCTTCCTTCCTTTCCTTCCTTTCCTTCCTTTCCTTTCTTTTTTTTTTCTTTTTTGAGTTAGAGTCTGACTATATTCCCCAGGCTGGTTTGGAAATCCTGGGCTCAAGCGATCCTCCTGCCTCAGCCTCCCAAGTAGCTGGGACTACAGGTGCGCACCACTGCACCTGCCTGGCTGCGGGTGGCCTCGTGAGGGTCCCCAGGCCCGGAAGGTCGCATGCTTGCTATTGCTGCCGCGCAGACCCCCATGGCCTGCTGGAGCTAGGGGGCGCCAGAAGCCTTGCTTCTGTGTCTCTGGCGGATAAACAAGAGGGCCCGGACACTGCTGTAGAGCAGAGGCTGCTTCCGGGTGGACAGAGTCCGCCGGGGCGGGGGCCTGTGTGAGTGCAGCTTCCTGTCTGCTCACCCCTAGCTTCCGGCCAGAGAGTAGGCAGCTCGTTTTCAATAATTCCAATAGCTTTGTTCCTCCCACTCCCTAAATCTTCTTGCCGACCCCCTAACCATGCCCAGGGCCTCTCATTGTAAGGTGGCAAGTAGCCCAAGAAGCAGATGACAGCACAGGCTTTGCAGTCCCGGCTCCGGCAGACCCCTCCTGTCCTCCCGTCCTCCCATCCTCCCGTCCTCTCACCGGGAGGCTGCCTGGCTTCGTGGTCCGGAGCAACTCGCTTCTCAATGGGCTTCACTTGGCCCATCTGAAGTCTGAGGTCGTTAGGCGTGTTTTCTTTTTTTTTTTTTTTAAAGACAGAGTCTCACTCTCTTGCCCAGGCTGGAGTGCAATGGTGTGATCTGGGCTCACTGCAACCTCCACCTCCCGGGTTCAAGCAATTCTCCTGCCTCAGCCTCCCAAGTAGCTGGGATTACAGGCACGCACCAACAGGCCTGGCTAATTTTTGTATTTTTAGTAGAGACAGGGTTTCACCATGTTGTTCAGGCTGGTCCTGAACTCCTGACCTCATGATCCACCCGCCTCGGCCTCCCAAAGTGCTGGGATTACAGGTGTGAGCCACCGCGCCCGGCCCAAGGCTTGTTTTCTAATGGCCTGCCCAGCTTTGGCATTTTTGGATCCTATGTAAAGGGAACCACTCCTTTCCACACTCATTCCTCATTCAGAGTGAGGAGAATGGGTAAATTCCCAGAGCCCCAGCATTCCCGTGGAGACCTCACCCCTCAATTCTGCTCTCACACACCCCATCCCACATACGCTCACATACACCATGGAGAGAGAGGCAAAGAGAAGGACCATGTGACAGAATTATGGAGTGGTGTTAGAAGGAAACTCTCTACAAGAGTTCGATGTATTATATTATTTTTAATTTAGATGAAATTCACATAACCCAAAATTTACCATTTTAAAGTGTACAGTTCAGTGGCTTTTCATGTATTCACAATGTTGTGCAACCACTACCCTTATCTAGTTCCAAAATATTTTCAATTCTCCCCTCCTTCAGCATCTGGGAAGCATCCATTCACCTTCTAGCTCTGTGGCTTTGCATGTTCTAGACACTTCATACAAATGCAGTCATACAATATGTAGTTTTTTGTGTCTGGCTTTTTTCATTTAGCATAATATTTTCAAGGTTTATCCATGTTGTAACATGTATTCCTTTTTAAATTTTTTTAATGTGTAAAATATACATATCATAATATTTATCATTTTAATCATTCATAAGTATACAAATCAGTGGCATGAGGTGGTGCATTCACAATGTTGTGCTGCCGTCACCACTGTCTGTTTTCAGAACTTTTTCATCACTGTCCTCAACAGAAACCCTGCACCCAATAAACAGTAACTCCCGGCCGGGCGCGGTGGCTCACGCCTGGAATCCCAGCACTTTGAGAGGCCGAGGTGGGTGGATCACGAGGTCAGGAGATCAAGACCATCCTGGCTAACACGGTGAAACCCCATCTCTACTTAAAATACAAAAAATTAGCTGGGCGTGGTGGCAGGCACCTGTAGTCCCAGCTACTCGGGAGGCTGAGGCAGGAGAATCACTTGAACCCAAGAAGTGGAGGTTGCAGTGAGCTGAAATCACGCCATTGCACTCCAGCCTGGGTGACAGAGTAAGACTCTGTCAAAAACAAAAAACAGTGACTCCCCATGCCCTTCCTCCAAGCCCCTGATATCTTCTATTCAACTTTCTGTCTCTGTACATTTGCCTATTCTAGGTACCTCGTGTAGGTAAAATCATACAATATGTGTGTGGCTTGTGTCTGGCTTCTTTCACTCAGCATGATGTCTTCAAATTTCACCCACACTGTAGCATCTATCAATACTCAATTTCTTTTTATGGCTACATAATACTCTATCTACTTATTATTTTTATTCTATGAACAGTGATTGACAGCTTCATTTCTGGAGGGCTGCCAGTGGGCTACACACTTTGCAGGTCCTTCACCTATATTGTATTTATTCTTGTATTTATTCCATTTATTTATAAACTGATGGCCCCCATTGTGCAGATGAAGAACCTGAAAGCCAGAGGGAATAGCGACTTTTCCAGAGGTCACATTGCTGCTTAGTGGTTAAAGCAGCACTAGAACCCTGTGGTGTCTTGATTCCAGGTGCCTGCAGGGTTTGAGAGAAATGGAGACAAAGAAGGCCGTGGGCAGGAGGCCAAGAGAAGCTCAGTAGGTGCTGACCATCAATGTGGGGATGTGATGGGAGTGGGAGGAGGTGAGGTAGAGCCCCCACCATTTCAGCTTCTTCCCCTCCAGCCGCTTTCCTATCACCCTCCCCAACCGTGTCTCCACCCCAGCCAGGGCCAACACCATTCTTTTTTTTTTTTTTTTTTTTTTTGGAGACGGAGTCTTACTCTGTTGCCCAGGCTGGAGTGCAGTGGCTGGATCTCAGCTCACTGCAAGCTCCGCCTCCCGGGTTTACGCCATTCTCCTGCCTCAGCCTCTCGAGTAGCTGGGACTACAGGCGCCCGCCACCTGGCCCGGCTAGTTTTTTTGTATTTTTTAATAGAGACGGGGTTTCACCGTGTTAGCCAGGATGGTCTCGATCTCCTGACCTCGTGATCTGTCCGTCTCGGCCTCCCAAAGTGCTGGGATTACAGGCTTGAGCCACCGTGCCCGGCCCCAACACCATTCTGACTGTTGCTTTGCCTGCCTCTACTTTACCCTGGTCTTTGACTCCCTAATAGAAAAAGCTGAGGCCCAAGGCCTCTGGGCCGACTGCTCTTTTGGCATAAGTCCTCCACACCCTTCCCCCCACAGGCAACCCCAGCAGGGTGTGGAGAGACCGCTGTTTTACCTTGAAGCTCTACTTTGTTCTACTCTTGTTCCTCTGCTGAGACCTGGTTAGCCTTCCTGGGGCCTGACTCTCCCATTCTCCAGCAGCAGCCCTGACCTGACCTCTCCTCCTCCCAACCCTGCATGGGGCCCTGCAGCCAAGCACAGCTGTGTCTGGTCTTTGTCCAGACATCAAATGGTCCAGGGAGGCGGTGGCATTGTGGTTATTTTTGCCTGAGAGGCTTTCTGTGCCCTGACCAATCCCAGCCTCATTCCTAATGGGTTATGAGAGTGGAGATAGCGTCTTCTTATCCACGTTTCTTACAGCGCCTCTTCCCCCACCCCAACACACACACACACACCCCTTCCTTCCCACTTCTCCTCTCCTTAGGAACTGGAGTCCCTCCCTGTTCTCCCTGCTCTACCCAGCCTCCTGGCCTCAGTCCTCCCACCTTCGATGAGAGTCCTCCAAGGAAGAACTATAACAATTTAGAACTTCAGTTGAGTCTCCAATAGCCTGGGGTACAGAGGTGGCTTGAGGCTGGGAGGATGGTGGAGAGGCTGTTCTGCAGATGCCAGAGTCCTTTTGCTACCGCAGGGCCTCCTGCTGAAGGAGCGTTGATTGAGAACACTGGAGCCTGGGACTCTGGGTGCCACGATCGTCCCCCCCCCCACCCGGAAGCCTTTCTAGGAGTGCCCAGGTCTTCTCTTCCTCTTCCTTGCTGGAGTTTTGCTTGCTTGTGCCTTGGAGAGGTGGTGGAGGGGTGAGGCAGTTCTGTCCTTTAGCAGGGTTTGGAAATTCTTTATGAGGTCCTGGCTCAGGGGCGCACTGGGCAGCAAGACCAGCTTTAGCACCTTCTCCTGGTAGTGAGGCAGAGGGTTCGGGCAGGGCCAGCTCCTGGCGAAATTGTTGGGAAACGGGTTGGGCATGAGCTGGAGGCCCTGGGGTTCGAACCTCCCACCAGCGGATATGTGCCGGTACCTGTTGGGAGAAGGGTGTGGAGAGAACAGAGAGATCAAAGAAGAGATCCAGGCACAGTGGAGAGATGGGGAAGGGGAAGGGTGATGCTGCTGTCCACAAGCTAGGTAGCCATCAGGTGGCAGGGAATCCCTTCTGTCTCTCCGCCTAATCGGGTATTGACCTATGCCAAATGGCCTGCAGCTTGTGTGTGTTTTGGCGTTAGTCTGGTGAAATAATGTTCGGCTAGTAAGCCTTCCATCCTTTTGACATACTACATATAATACTATGATCCAGATCCCAATCCAGATTCTAAATGTCCTTCAAGTCTCACCTTTTCCACTAATGCAGTGCCAGTGGGAAGATCACAGAACTCAACTCCACTGGATAACTGCCTCTTCTCAGCAAGCCTGCGGTATTGGGTCGAACAGTAGGAAATAGACTTTTGTTTCTTTTAACACAGCTGAATAGTGACTGATTTTCTATGACTCAACACACTTTGCACCTGGTTCAGCAGACAGTCCCCTGTTTGCTGTTGTTGGTTTATGCAGAGGCTCTCAGTCTGGCTGCACATTAGAATCACCCTGGGAGCTTTTCAACACAACCTACCCAGGCTGCCCTGAAGGTCAGTTAGTTAGAATTTCCAGAGGGAGGCTCAAACCTCAGCATTTAAAAAAAGAGCCTCTAGGCCAGACCTGGTTGCTCACACCTGTAATCCCAGCACTTTGGGAGGCCAAGGCAGGTGGATCACAAGGTCAGGAGTTCAAGACCAACCTGACTAACATATTGAAACCCCGTCTCTATTAAAAATACAAAAATTAGCTGGGCGTGGTAGCAGGCACCTGTAATCCTAGCTACTTGGGAGACTGAGGCAGGAGAATCCTTGAACCCAGGAGGCAGAGGCTGCAGCGAGCCAAGATCGTGCCACTGCACACCAGCCCGGGCGACAGTGTGAGACTCTGTCTCAAAAAAAAAAAAAAAAAAGCAGCCCTAGGCTGGACGCGGTGGCTCACACGTGTAATCCTAGCACTCTGGGAGGCTGAGGTGGGCAGATGACCTGAGGTCAGGAGTTCAAGACCAGCCTGGCCAATATGATGAAACCCAAACCCCATCTCTACTAAAAATACAAAAATTAGCCAGGCGTGGTGGTGCGCACCTGTAGTCCCAGCTACTTGGGAGGCTGAGGCAGGAGAATCACTTGAACCTGGGAGGTGGAGGTTGCAGTGAGCCAAGATCGCACCACTGCAATCCACCCTGGGCAAGAGCAAGACTCTGTCTCAAATAAATAAATAAATAAAAAGAGCCCCAGGTCATGAAAATGGGCTACCAGGATTCAGAACTACTAGGTTTACATGTAAATGTTGTATTTTCCCAACAAGATCATGCTTAACATCTCATTCTATGTCTGAAGTCCTCTGGGTCTCTACAGTTTCAATGCTTCAGTGTGCTCACTGACTGATCCAGAGTCTTTTTTTTGTTTTGTTTTGTTTTTGTTTGTTTGTTTGTTTTTGAAACAGAGTCTTGCTCTGTTGCCCAGGCTGGAGTGCAGTGGCGCGATCTCGGCTCACTGCAACCTCCACCTCCCAGGCTCAAGTGATTCTCCTGCCTCAGCCTCCTGAGTAGCTGGGACTACACCTGCATCACCACTCCTGGCTAATTTTTTATATTTTTAGTAGAGACGGGGTTTCACCATATTGGCCAGGCTTGTCTTGAACTCTTGACCTTAAGTGATTCGCCCGCCTTAGCCTCTAAAGTGCTGACATTACAAGCATGAGCCACCACGCCCAGCCCAGAGTCTTTTTTTTTTTTTTGAGACAGAGTCTCGCTTAGCTTGGTGTGGTGGCGCACGCCTGTAATCCCAGCTACTTGGGAGGCTGAGGCAGGAGAATCGCTTGAACCCGGGAGGCAGTGAGTGGTGCCAAGATCGTACCATTGCACTCCAGCCTGGGTGACAAGAGCGAAACTCCATCTGAAAAAAAAAAAAAGATTAAAGATTTAAAGGTGTATAGGGCACTTACCGTGAATGGAGCTTGCAAGACTGGAAGTTGCTGTGGGTGAGTGAGTGAGTGAATGTGAAGGCCTAGGACATTACTATACACTACTGTGGACTTCATAAACACTACATGATTAGGTGACACTAAATTTATGTATTTACTTACTTATTTTGAGATGGAGTCTGACTCTGTCCCCGATGCTCTAGAGCAGTGGCCGTGATCTCAGCTCACCGCAACCTCCACCTCCTGCGTTCAAATGATTCTCCTGCCTCAGCCTCCTGAGTAGCTGGGATTACAGGCACCCGTCACCGTGCCCAGCTAGTTTTTGTATTTTTAGTGGAGACGGGGTTTCGCCATGTTGGCCAAGCTGGCCTTGAACTCCTAACCTCAGGTGATCCACCCGCCTTGGCCTCCCAGAGTGTTGGGATTATAGGCGTGAGCCACCACGCCCAGCCACTAAATTTATTTTATTTTATTTTATTTTATTATTTATTTATTTATTTTTAAAAAATTTTTTTCCTAAGATGGAGTCTTGATCTGTCACCCAGGCTGGAATGCAGTGGTGCAATCTCAGCTCACTACAACCTCCACCTCCCGGGTTCAAGCGATTCTCCTGCCTCAGCCTCCCGAGTAACTGGGATTACAGGCATGTGCCACCACGCCTGGCTAATTTTTGTATTTGTAGTAGAGACAGGGTTTCACCATGTTGGCCAGGCTGGTCTCAAACTCCTGACCTCAAGTGATCTGCCCACCTCGACCTTCCAAGGTGCTGGGATTATGGGCGTGAGCCACCATTCCTGGTCCACTACACGTATTTTTAAAATGAGGGAATTCGAGACCATCCTGGATAACACGATGAAACCCCGTCTCTACTAAAAATACAAAAAATTAGCTGGGAGTGGTGGCGGGCGCCTGTAGTCCCAGCTACTTGGGAGGCTGAGGCAGGAGAATGGCATAAGCCCGGGAGGCGGAGCTTGCAGTGAGCTGAGCTCTCCCCTTTGCCAGAGTCAGCACCTATCAGCAATCGGCAGTCTTCAGAGAAGGGTAGCAGGAGGCAGGGAGTAGCCTAGGTCCCCACAAAGGGGACTGGTTTCTCAAAGTCACTAACCTTTGGCGTTGTTTTCTTGTTTGTTTTTTGTTTTTTTTGAAACAAAGTCTCGCTCTTGTCTCCCAGGCTGCATTGCAGTGGTACGTCAGCTCACTGCAACCTCCACCTCCCGGGTTCAAGCGATTCCCCTGCCTCACCCTCCGGAGTAGCTGGGATTACAGGCACCCACCACCATGCCCAGCTAAGTTTTGTATTTTTAGTAGAGATGAGGTTTCACCATGTTGGCCAGGCTGGTCTCGAACTCCTGAACTCAGGTGATCTGCCTGCCTTAGCCTCCCAGAGTGCTGGGATTATAGGCGTGAGCCACCGTGCCCAGTCTGTTTTTTTTTTTGTTTGTTTTTTTCAGATTAAAAATCTTCACAACCTCTTGCTCCAACTCCCCAGTGCTTTGGTCATGCCCTTGGGATTGGAATTTGAGACATTCCGTTTTCACTGCCTTCCCCCTATCTTGTTACTCTTGCATGCTTAGTGCCTGGGCTGGACACAGTTAGGAAGCATCCGTGAGTTCCCAGGGTGGCCGGGAGCAGGAGCTGCGGGATTCACAGCGGCTCCTCTCACGTTCCTGACTCTGTTCCGACTTCTCAGCCTTGCCTGGAGGGCCTCAGCCACTGCTTTTGGCTGTCTGCTGGCTTTCCACCCTTCCAGCGTGAACCCTGACTTCCCCATGAAGGCTTCCTGTGGCAGGGACACTCCAGCTTGCTGCAACCCTTCTCTCTTGAATTTCTGTAACAACATCTAACTTTTATTTTATTTTATTTATTTATTTATTTTGAGATGGAGTTTCACTCTTGTTACCCAGGCTTGAGTGCAATGGTGCCATCTCGGCTCACCGGAACCTCCGCTTCCCGGGTTCAAGTGATTCTCCTGCCTCAGCTTCCCAAGCAGCTGGGATTGCAGACACCCATCATCACACCCAGGTAATTTTGTATTTTTAGTAGAGACGGGGTTTCTCCATGTTGGTCAGGCTGGTCTGGAACTCCTGACCTCAGGTGATCCGGCCGCCTCGTCCTCCCAAAGTGCTGGGATTACAGGCGTGAGCCACTGTGCCTGAAAAACATCTAACTTTTGTTCAGTTCTTCCACGTATTCACTAGCTCAATTTATCCTCCCACAGTGAGGTCGGTACCTGATGATCCCCCCTTCATCAGTGAGGGAGCTGAGACTAGAGAAGCTGGGCACCTCGACATGGTCATGGGGTTGGAAATGCACTCCAGGCCTTCGGGCTACAACTTTCACTCCAGTTCTTTACATTAATAACTGACTTCCTTATAACACCCTCTGTCTCACACTCTGGGCCCTTCGCATGTGTAGCCTTGTTTTGATAGCTATCTTTGCAAAGCTCCTTGAGGGCAGGCACTGAATCGCACTTCTCCGTATCCCCAGTGCCTAGCAGGTGTCTCCTGCATAGCTGTCCTCCCAGATTTTAGTGAAATTCTGTGCCTCCACTCGCTGTTCTTACCTTGTCTCCACCTTGTCCTTTCAGCTACACTCAGAAAAGAGTTTGGTTTTCAGATGACCAGAGGTGGGAAGGGCAGAGTCCTGGTTAGAAACAGGAACCCTAGAGAGGGAGGGGTCACCTGGGCAGGGCGGGGCAGGCTGGGTGGGCTCCCTGAGGAGGCACCGTCTTACTTCTTGAAGCTCGCTGGTGGCTGAATGTTGCCCTGGGCGTCGAGTGGAGGTGCTCTTGCCTCACTCCTCAACTTAAGCTTCTCCACCTCCTTCAACTCCTTCACTGTCCTGAAAATCACCTGCTTCTTCCTTTTTATGTCCACAAACGTGGGATAACAGTGGATGAAAGTCAGGAAGCTGTTTTGCCCCATCCAGGAGGGAGGGGGGATGGGGTGCTCCGTGGGGGGGCGTCTGTGGGCATTGGAGTCTGTCAGCCAGCGCCAGACATTGCTATCGTAGGGCCTGTCAGGCCGAGTGGGGAAGGTGGCAGGCAGGCGGCACACATCGAGCCATGTGTGGAATCCCCAGGTGTGCTGTGTGCCCCCTTTCCAAGGATGGATGAGCCGCTGGTGCACCTTGGACTTCATATCTGTGCAGGGCGGCAGCTTCAGGGCCAGCTGGTGGTAGGCTTGCCGGGTGAAGCCAGGGAACTCCCAGGACTCGCTGGGGAGGAAGAACTCACGTTGAGCCCACGTTTGGGAGGGCGGGAGGGACTCGCTGGCCTGGACCATCTAGGGAGAGACAAAAGGGAGCCTGGGGAAGGTTGTGCAGACAGGGGTGCAGAAAGGTGGACGAGACACTCTGCTCTCCTTCCCAGGCACAGCCTCCACCAGCCCAGGATTCTCATCAGGACACAGAAGTCTTGGCAGGGCCACATCTCTATCCCTCTCCCGCCCGGCAGCAGTTATGGCTGCTCCGTATCATTGTCACAGTCACTCATCTTTTGGTCTCTTGCCATTAACCATATTTTGGTTTTGACTTCCCACCGTCTGTGCTCAGCTTTCGCTCTTTACCTTCACCTCCCTCCTCCCTTCTGGTGTCCCCACATTCCCACCCAGGAACGTGCTCCTTAGAGGGCACATCAGGTCTCAGGAAATCACGAAGGGAAATGCCCCCTACCATGCCAAGCGGGGCAGCCCACCTTCACTTTCTCCTGGTCTTGGCGACATACCAGGAAAGTCCTTCTCCAGAAAATAGGGCCATGTGTCTTCCCATCCCAGACTCCTCTCAATACTCATTTCTCTGTCATTGACACTTTCCTCCCACTCCTGATTAAAATGCTAGTACAGAAAGCGTCTAGAATGGCCAGCTCCTTCTTCCCCTTTCTGCACCCTGCCCCCCATGAAATAAACAGCAGCAAATACATGTTGACGCTGTGCTAAATACTTACATGCATCTTATTTAACCCCTACAACTCTGTGAGCAAGTATTGCTATCGTCCCTATCTCAAAGATGCAGAAAGCAAGATACAGTAAGGGTTGGTAACTCACGCAGGGTGCTGGTAACTGAGTGACAGCTGGGACTTAAGCCCTCTGTCTGTGCTCTTGCTTGGCATACCATGCTGGGTGAAATGAAATGGCCTTACTTAGCACAGTGCTTGACCGCAACAAAAATGCGTCTCTTTTAAAATGCTTCTCCCTCCTATCCATCCCCAGGGACTTTTCTTTTTTTTAGACAGAGTTTCGCTCTTGTTGCCCAGGCTGGCGTGCAAGGGTGCAGTCCCAGCTCACTGCAACCTCCGCCTCCCGGGTTCAAGTGATTCTCCTGCCTCAGCCTCCTGAGTAGCTGGGATTACAGGCGTGTGCCACCACGCCTGGCTGATTTTGTATTTTTAGTAGAGACAGGATTTCATCGTGTTGGCCAAGCTGGTCTCAAACTCCTAACCTCAGGTGATCCTCCTAACCTCAGGTGATCCATTTCCCTCGACCTCCCAAAGTGCTGGGATTACAGGCATGAGCCACTGTGCCTGGCCCCAGCGACTTAGTTCTGATTGCAAAAACCCACCTGTTTCTTGAGCTTGGGCCCCTAAGTTGTTTCTACAAGATCCCCCCAGTGGGTGGGACTGGGAGACGTGGCACTAGTAAGGCATCTCCTCTGTGTTCTGAGCTCTGGGTTGCCAGTGTCATGGGATGAAAAGGGGAAGACAGCAGAAAATGTATGGGCCAGGCAGTCAGCTGCCCAGAAGAAAGCCTGGCCCACTATAGGGGATAGCCTGTAGCCCAGTGGGGTACAAAAATGTAGGCAGCAGAGATGGGCCACTCCCTACCTGCAGGAAAGGTTCTTCCATACGAGGTGGGTGACTGGGCCCTCTGAGTGATCTTTGCCGGTTACTGGCCATTCTTCTGGGCCTCAGAGCCAGGAGGAGCGGCTTTGTGGGGAAACCCTTTCTGGCACCATTGTTTACTCCTGGGGTTGCTATGGTGATGCTGCCTGAGTGGTGATGCAGAGAGGCGGCCCTCACCTGTCCCTGGAGGCTCTTGTGTCCCTTGGGCCCCTGGCTGCTTCAGGTTAGACAGGCAGGGGATAGCACTCTCTTCGAGTTCTGACTGCAAAAGATGGCAGCAGGAGCTGCTGCCGGCAGGAGAAAAGCAGGGCAGCCTGGCTCCCAGGCCTCAGGGTGGGGGTAGCAGTGGGAATGGAGCACCTGTAACTGGGCCCATCCTGCTCTGATGTTCAGGGAGCCCTACCCCTCATGAGCTTTTCTCCTTAAGGAACCCTCAAAAGGCCTAAGTTAACCAGCAGGTCCAAAGGTCCCAAGGAACAAGGTTGGAGACGACAGGGAAAAGAGGTGAGCTGTGCAGGACTGGCACTGGGAAAAGCGGCAATTTGTGTTGTAGAGTGTGTGCCTGTGCAAGGTGCTCCAACTGCTTCTTGGGTCAACTTCAGGCGTTGCCTCTTCCCTATCACCATTGTCTCCATCAACACCCTCTTTCTTTTCCAGCCTCTCCTGGTGCCTTAGGAATCAGACACCAATAAACCACAGAGCCCAGCATGTCCACCCTCACTTTTATTGAGTAGATAGTTACAGTAGTGTTCTCAAGCCGGCTCACACCCTAGGCTGGGGCCTAGGGTGGCTCTTTGCAAAGCTGAGGGGCAAGCTAAGGAAGCCAGGCAGGTCAGGGGCTCTTTCGGCCTTCTCAAGCCTCCACCTGAGTTCTTGTCAATGCTGGTCTCCCTGGTATGACTGGGGACATTATCAGAGAAACATCTAATAGCGCATATCTGGGCACCCACGCTCTGCTTCGGCTGCATCCTCCCACCCCGAATTCAACTCTTGACCCAATACAAAAGACTTTTTAAACCAGGATTTCTTCTTGCAGGAAAGCTCACGTGGAAACACGGGGAGGTGGCAGGGAGGGGCAAAAAGGACTCTGGCAAGCAGATCCACTTGTCTGGGTCCCTGCAGTAAAGAACCAAGATCCAGGTACCTCGGCCTGGAAGAAACCGTGCACTGCAGGTCTTCCCTTCTCTCGAAACTAAAAGCAAGGAACAGAAGTCAATTGAAACCCCGGTCATCCTACCCACCTTCTGGCAGTCTCTGGATAATGATCTAAGGAAATAAGCTTACATTTATAATTAGAGGATAATTTGGAGGATTGACACTATTTACAAGGGCCACCCTGCAAAGATCAGGGAAGGTGAGAGACTGCTGGGCACAGAATGGAAACAGGCTGGGGAGTTCCTAATCTCTTTTCACCATTGCCTTTGTTGTTCCCACCCTTCAGCTCCTGGGAGGGACAGCAGAGGAATCAGATACTCTTGGGGAAGACAGGGTCCCAGCAGTGGCTAGGGTGTGACTGCTACCTTTGCATAATCAGGCAGCAGGGAGCTAAGAGGAGCAGAACAGTCCCTGCCTGCTGTCCTCATTCAGAGACTTGGGGTGCACTGAGCCTCGGACTGCTCAGCCACAGGAGTGCCCAGGATGGTGGACAGCTTGGGCACAAGGGCAAGGGCAGGGCTCTACTGTAGCTCAGGAATAAACTGGGACCAGTTGATGTTGTCAGGGCCCAGTGGGTCCTCCTCCAGGCCAGGAAAGCTGATGTCCAGCAGGATCTTGCTGAGGCTATCATTCATTGTGTCCAGAACCAGGCCTTCTGTCAGAGAACGATTGGCTGCAAGGCCAGAAACCTGTGGCTCCGGGGAGCCTGGCTTGGGGACTTCTATATCTGAGGGAGAAGAGTTGCCAAAGGGGACGGAGGCGAGGTCTAAGGGTTCTGAACTGAGGAGCCTTTGCGGTGATTCAAAGGGGGGAACGCTTTTCAGTGGAGTGGTGCTGAGATCCATCAGCCCCAGGGGGTCAGGCAAGGGGCCAGAGGCGCCCTGGGGGGTTTGTACTGGGCTGAAATCCAGCCCCCCTACTTTGGCTGGGGGCGTGAGCCTCCAGGATTCAGGCGTTCTGGGGAGGACAGATTTGCTCGGGGTGGAGGAGATGGGCAGCGTTTCCTTAATGGGTGTCTTAAAAGGTCCTCCCTCTTCCTGGGAGTAGCTGAGCTGGGGGGCAGGCTCAGAGGAGTCTGCCCGGAACGGGAGTTCTGCGGCCCAGCGGGAAGTACTGGACCCCTCTGAGAAGAGCAGCTCCGGCTCATCCACGCAGGGAGGCAGTAGATGCTGTTTCCTCCGAGACCGGCTCCTCTCCCTCCTTTCCCTGTGTTGAATCACAAGCATTTCTGAGACACACCGGGTTGGGGACCTAAGCCCACTGTAGGACTTCCTGGGTCTTGGGGTGGGAGATTGGGATGAATCCTCCCAGGAGTGAGATGATTCCTCTTTGAAAGATGGGGCCGGGGAGGGCCACTCTTCCAAGGGGGGGCTCTCCACTTTGATGGGTCTCGCTAAGTGCGGCATTTCCTCCCCAGGCTGGATTTGTTCCTCCTTGATAGACTGAACTGGAAGCAAAGGAGACAGCCCTTCTCCAAACAGGAGTTTCTCCTCTTTCCCTGGTCCTGCAGAAGGAAGAGGAGCTATCCCCTCCTCAGCTAGCAGTACCTGAAAGGGAAACAGAGACAAGGTGAAAGGGAACTCTGACTTCAGCCAACAGTCACCAGACAGGACGCACAAAAAAATCACATATTGGTACTGATCCTCTTTGTGTCGTTTTAAAGTCTTAAAATCTATTAAATATGAGAATACAATATATGTTGAAGCTGGTAGTTCAATTCTGGGGGTAAAAGATGAGAGTATGTAGTATGTAGTGGCATAATTATAATAGCATTCATCCGAGAGGAAATAAAATTGCATGCCTATCTTACACTGCTTACAAAGATTTAACGCATGCAAATTAGAACCTTAGGCTGCTCTGATGGTAGTGGGTAGTGACATTATCGTCACTAAAGTTGGTACACAACCCCCAACTGCTAAATTTGACTGGCTTTAAAAAAAATGAAAACCTTAAAATCATACAAATCCTGAAAGAGAATCTAGGAGACTACATATACAATCTGAGGGTGCGGGTGACCTTCTTAACCAAGACTGGAAACCCAGAAGCTGTAAAAGAGAAAAGAGACATTTGACTACATACAAATGTAAAATTTTACTGTGGCAAGAGATACTATAAACAAAATTAAGAAACAACAAATAAACAATGCCTGTAATCCCAGCACTTTGGGACACTGAGGCCAGTTTGAGACCAGTCTGAGCAACATAGTGAGATCCCGTCTCTACAAAAAAATATTTTTTTAATTAGCTGGGCGTGGTGGCATGCACCTGTAGTTCCAGCTACAGGTGGGAGGCTGAGGTGAGAGGATCACTTGAGCCTGGGAGGTCAAGGATGCAGTGAGCCTTCATTACACCACTGTACTCCAGACTAGGCAACGTAGCAAGACCCTGTCTCCAAAGAAAGGAAAAGAAAAGAAAAGAGATAATAGAAGTAGAAAAATATCTTCAGCATAAAAGACAGAAGATTATTTTAACAACAAAGAGCTCTCACAGGGGGCTGGGCGCGGTGGCTCACGCCTGTAATCCAGCACTTTGGGAGGCCAAGGTAGGCAGAGATCATCTGAGGTCAGGAGTTTGAGACCAGCCTGACCAATATGGTGAAACCCTGTCTCTACTAAAAATACAAAATTAGCCGGGCATGGTGGTGGGCACCTGTAATCCCAGCTACTCAGGAGGCTGAGGCACGAGAATTACTTGAATCCGGGAGGCGGAGGTTGCCAAGATCACACCACTGCACTTCAGCCTGGGTGACAGAGCAAGACTCCATTTCAAAAAAAAAAAAGGAAAAAAAGACAAAAAAAGAGCTCTCACAAATTGATAACAGAACCTTTAGAAAAATGGGCAATGTCCATAAATAAGCAATTCATAGAGGACAATTCCAAGTCACCAAATATAATGACGAGGTGCTCAGACTTACTGATAAACAAAGAAAGATTAAAATTAAACAAGAGGGTGATGGGTGTACCAAAATCTCACAGATTGCCACTCAAGAACTTACTCATGTAACCAAACACCACCTGTTCCCCAAAAACCTATGGAAATAAAAGATTTAAAAATAAATAAATAAAACATTAAAAAAATTAAACAAGAAGATATAAGCTATACACATTAGATTGGCAAATAGTAGACTAATAATACCGATTGCTGGCAAAGATACAGATCTTATCATACATTGCTGGTTTAAACATGACTTATCATAGCTTTTTTGAAGCAATCTAGCAATACTTAGTAGAATTTAAAATACCTTCTCACCCAGCAATCTCACATCTGGGACTCTATCCTAGAGAAATGAAAGCACTAGTAAGAGAGATCCTTGCAAACATCTTTATTGCAATGTCATTCACTGGGCAAAAATTGAGAAACAGAATGTGTCCATAAAAGTGGAATGGCTGAAAAATTTGTGGTGTAGCCACATCATGGAATATTACATGGACACTAAAAAATAATGAATTAGAACTATGCCAAGTGACTTGGAAGAACTTCCATGAGGTATTTTTGAGTTAAGACATGTAGAGGCTGGGTGCGGTGGCTCACACCTGTAATCCCAACACTTTGGGAGGCCAAGGCTGGCGGATCATGAGGTCAGGAGTTCCAGACCAGCCTGACCAACACGGTGAAACCCCGTCTCTACTAAAAATACAAAAATTAGCTGGGCGTGGTGGCGGGCACCTGTAATCTCAGCTACTCAGGAGGCTGAGGCAGGAGAATCAGCTTGAACCTGGGATGAGGAGGTTGTGGTGAGCCAAGATCATGCCACTGTACTCCAGCCTGGGTGACAGAGTGAGACTCCGTCTCAGAAAAAAAAAAAAACGACATGTAGAGAAGTATGTACAACACGATTACATCATCAATGTTCTATGTGTTGTATGTGTACATATAAAATGGCTACCGCTATACATGTATATTATAACTAGGAGCATCGATAAAATATGCAAGAAAGCATCATAAATTATCAACCAGTTATCTTGGGAGTAGGGGTGATGTGAGTGATGGTAGGTTGGAGAGGGGAGCCAAAAAGGAAAGGGGAGAAAAAAACCACTGCATTAAAACCAAAACAGTGTACATGCTACGACCACATTAATGCATTTAT